GCCGTGTTCTGAGCCCCAGCTGGACGACCAGAGGCCGTGTTCTGAGCCCCAGCTGGGCGACCAGAGGCCGTGTTCTGAGCCCCAGCTGGGCGACCAGAGGCCGTGTTCTGAGCCCCAGCTGGGCGCCCAGAGGCCGTGTTCTGAGCCCCAGCTGGGCGACCAGAGGCCGTGTTCTGAGCCCCAGCTGAGCGACCAGAGGCCGTGTTCTGAGCCCCAGCTGAGCGACCAGAGGCCGTGTTCTGAGCCCCAGCTGAGCGACCAGAGGCCGTGTTCTGAGCCCCAGCTGGACGACCAGGTCGTGTCCAACAGTTTCAACAGTGTGGACAAATTATGAAGCACTTTATTTTCATTTAAAAAAAACAGTGAAAGACGAAACAAGATTTGGAAGTGGCAGAAAAACCTATAAAAGTCTGTTGAAAAAGTTAACTTTAGAACAGTTTCTACTGGATGTAGCTGTAATGTATGACACGTTACATCAACTTGGTTTACTGTCAGAGTCTCTACAGAAACGCACCACTTCGATTGTGTATGATGACAAACTGATTCAACGCCCCATAAGATATTTGTATGGACTAAAAGAGAAACCTGTTACTAGAACTTTAGAAGCTCATAAGGCAATTGAAAAGGGAAAGTTTGGAAGAATTACCATAACAAGTAAGTGTCCACTCAGGAGATGAGTGGCGCTGCCCAATAAACTCGCCCCTCGGGGCAAAATTTAAAATTTAAGCAACAAAAATAACTGTCCATTAATTATTGACTATCTCCATCAGTTCCTTACTAGTCTTGTGAACAATTAGCAGCACCGTATGTTCACGACAACGAACAAATCCACAAGGGCCGTGACGAGGACTCGAACCTACGTCCGAGATCATCCCAGACGCTGCCTTAATTGTTCATTGATGCATCACGCTATTGTGATCTCTGTGTGTTCACGACAACCTCCATGAAAGGCTCTCTAACTTCTGAACCTCAAAGAATGTATAAATCACTGCTAAGTGAAATGTCTGTCCTAACACAGGGGCCTCGTAGCCTGGTGGATAGCGCGCAGGACTCGTAATTCTGTGGCGCGGGTTCGATTCCCGCACCCGCACGAGGCAGAAACAAATGGGCAAGTTTCTTTCACCCTGAATGCCCCTGTTACCTAGCAGTAAATAGGTACCTGGGAGTTAGTCAGCTGTCACGGGCTGCTTCCTGGGGGTGGAGGCCTGCTCGAGGACCGGGCCGCGGGGACACTAAAAAAAAAAAAAAGCCCCGAAATCATCTCAAGATAACCTAAAGATAACAAGAGACACCTGGCCTGATGAAATACCACCTAATTACAGAGAAGCTGAAATACTATCTGTATCTTTCTTCTGGAGGATGATGGACGCCGAATCCCCCCCAAAAATTGTACACCCATTACTGAGCTGTTTACAAGTTATTCCTATTAGTACAGCTGAGTGTGAGAGGGGATTCAGTCACATGAACCTGGTTATAATAACACGCTCAAGAATTCTCATAAAACATGCATCAGCACTTGTGTTTGTTACACAACATGGACCTCCTCTAGTTCAATGGAATCCTGGAGCCATGTCATGACTGCGGTACCACAGAGCGACAGATGACACTAGGACAAGAGTTACTTCAGTATCCCCTAAACGTCTCACACCTGACCTTTTGGGGAGACTATTGTGAAACTTCTCCTAACCTAACTGTATTGTGTGATCACTGCAGTCCTGAATGTTTTAACTTCTTAAATTAATAAATACCTGATTCATGTTTTTTCTTTATTTGTTTGATAATTATATTTTATGATATTTTATGAGTATAAACACGAAATACTTATTCGTGTGCCATATAGAAACAGGATAGTAAATGACAGGTTTTTGTCAGGCCCACCAGAACTCCGGCACATACAACATTGGCACCGGATCCCTGCGTTGTTACGGGCTCACCATAGCCCGTGCTACATGGACATTTTTGTTCCCAGTAGCTGAATGTAAACCAACAACAACAACAACCCTGCGTTGTAATCATAACCTGATTCTTCTCTCATCTTGGGTTGTGAACATAAGTTGTCTTGACCTTTCCTCGTATCCTCAAAGTCGTTGCACTCATTGTGTTGCAAACCTCTGCACCTTTTTTTTTTTTTAATTTTGCTTTGTGCTTCACAAGGTGAGAATTCCACGCCGGAACTGCATATTTCAGAATTGGTCTAACATAGGTTGTGTAGATTGTCTTCAAATAGTCCTAATTTAGGCATTAATTGCCGTTCTAAAGTTTGCCAGCGTCCCATATGCTGCTGATGTTACCTTATTGATGTGTGCGTCCAGTCTGGGAATTATATGCACTCTTAAATTTTTATCTTTCCAATTTCCATTACTTTACACTTGTCAGGGATTGAACCCTAAGAGCCATTTGCCTGTCCGTTCCAGGAGATTGTCAAGGCCTTCTTGTAATTTTATTCAATCATTACAATCATTTACATTCTTCGTTAGCTTGTGTTGTCTGGGAACATTGACATGTATTTGTTAACCTCTAATGGTACGCGCGCCTGTGTATTTACTATTTTGTGTCTGCAGGCTCGAGTTATTAGCTCTTGGACCCCGCCTTTCTAACCAATCTATTTTTCCTTTATTATGCCTACTACATATGTTTGTAGCGCGCGCGCACACTCACGCATACACACACACACACACACACACACACACACACACACACACACACACACACACACACACACACACACACACACACACACACACACACACACACACACACTCATTCATACACACGCACACACACGCATACAGGAAGCAGCCCGCAGTAGCTGTCTAACTCTCAGGTACCTATTTACTGCAAGGTGAACAGGTGAAAGAAACTCTGCCCATTTTGTTTCCGAATCGTCCGTGAATCGAACCCGGGCCCTTAGGACTACGACCCCAGAGCGCTGTCCACTCAGCGGCGAGGCCCAATGTGTGTGTGTGTGTTAGAGAGAGAGAGAGAGAGAGAGAGAGAGAGAGAGAGAGAGAGAGAGAGAGAGAGAGAGAGAGAGAGAGAGAGAGAGAGAGAGAGAGAGAGAGAGAGAGAGAGACTGTGAGTGGGTATGTTTATGCTCACTTAACATATCCACATATGCTTCAGCGACACCCATGCTAAATAGTATATACTTGTCTGCCCTATCGATTCTCCTTGAAAAATTTTTATGTGGTAATCATGTCTCCCGTAACTCTATCATCCAGCTACGTTAAAATCCATTAGTGTTTACCTCATGACTCACACCTGTCAGTTACTGGTGGCATATCTTTAGATTTTCTCAAACATTATTTTGTGTTTGAAAAGTTAATGAATCGAGGCTGATGCTGCATATTCCAGGATTGGTCTGACGTGTAGTATATATAAGGACCTGAATGTTCACGTACTCAGACTTCTTAAAACAGTTCTCATATGTTGTCTAATCTGGCAAACACTGAAAATAACATCCAGTTGATGTGGGCTTGGGGGGGGGGAGGTCGTGTGACGTCATCCCCACAGCATCCACGAACTGTGTGAGAAACTTGCAAGAAAGTCTGATAAAAATAAAGACGTGTTAATCTTTAAAGACTTAAAGACGTCTTAGATAAAGATAAAGACATCAAACGAAACTCGAGACTTTCCCTTATCCCCAGAGATCCTCTTAAGTACCAAAGTGAAAGAGTGTTTGGCATTTTTTTACTAACTTTAAGTTACCTTTTTATTAAATAAATAATTTGCAACGTATGTGAGACGAAGATTGCAGTAGGCAGCTGTCATATATGGCTCCCACGCCTAAAAAAAATTAACAAAATTAAAAAACTCTATTATCGTGAAATGAATTAATACTTTTTTATGATAATAATACATTGTGTAGGGGGACAGACAGACAGTTTATATATACTGTACATGTCAGGCTTATATCAACTCCCCCCCCCACCACCTGGGGTCGAATTTCTGACCCCGCCCAGGATGTAACCCTACAAGCTGACTAACTTCTGGGTACCTATTTACTGCTAGGTGAACAGTAGCATTAGGTGATAGGAAACGCGTCCCAGCACGCAGCCGCTCCTGTGCCAGGTAAGTCCACTGCGGGCTCACCATAGCCCGTGCTACTTGCCCCGCTCCTGTGCCAGGTAAGTTACGGGCTCACCATAGCCCGTGCTACTTGGAACTTGTTCCGAGTAGCTGAATCTTAAACAACAACAAGAGCGTCCCAGCATTTCTGTCCACCCGGGATTCGAACACGGAATTCTCGATTGTGAGTCAAGAACGAACCCAACTAGCTGTACTTCCTGGACCATTAAAGCCATATTATAAGCCAGAATAAAACTTAACTGGAAGTCAAAGCTGTGACTTCCAAAACATATGTTTGGAAGGACAAGAGGAACTCAATGTTTACCAACAGACGTAGGGTCCGGCGGCTGAAAAGGTGGTGTCCAAGAGCTCAAGCTCGATCTTACAGGCAGAGGTAACTGCGTACATTAACACACACTGGTGGGTGAATCTGACTTGCAAAACGGTGTAGAGGAGGAACGTGACTGTAAGTAAGACAGCGGGGTATTGCTTGCCCGGCTGCTGATGGTGTTGACGTCTGCCGACCTGGCTCCTGGTGGCGCTCACTCATGGTATATAAGGCCACCACCTCCCTCTCTACCCCGACACTTCCTCCACCGCCTCCACTACCACCACTACCACCACCACTGCCGCCTCCACTACCACAACTACCACCACCACTACCGCCTCCACTACCACAACTACCACCACCACTGCCATCTCCACCTCCACAACCACCGCCTCCAACACTGCATCCACAGCCTCCATCACTGCAACTACTGCCTCCAACACTGCAACTACTGCCTCCAACACTGCCACTACTGCCTCCAACACTGCATCCATAGCCTCCAACACTGCAACTACTGCCTCCAACACTGCCACTACCGCCTCCAACACCAAACTACCTGCCAACCACACCCTTCTGACACCATCACATCATCTTCCCACGCCTGACTAATGATTGGTGCTGACAACATTACTCCAGCTAACACCCACACCTGTCACCACACCCGTCACCACACCTGCCACCACCATCTTTACTGACACCACGCTTGCATCAGCCAACACTTCACCACACAGACAACAGTCAGGAGGCAACCGCGCTGACAACACCATTTCACAGATGCCAGTGCTTCTCCCTCCCGTCAACCCACACACCTGACAAACACCTGTCAACACACACCTGACAAACACCCGTCATCTACACAGACGTGTGCCATGACGTCGTCACAGACACCGCTAAACAGGGCCATCGTGAATCCTATACAAAGGAGTGTTGGCTCCTGGCACTCGGCCCTAGTGCTGGCACTCCTGGGCCTCCTGGCACTCTCGCCCCACCTGTGCCACGCTAAGAGATGGGATGCAGATGTGGCACATATTGTCAACACTGTCGTAAGGTATGTGGCGTAGTGGTCTGCGTATAGACGGGTCACAGCCGAGACGTCCTAGGTTCGATTCCCGCGGTGGGGGTAGGGGAAAATGGTTTGGACAACGATTTCTTTTACCTAGTGCCTCTGTTAACCTAGTGGTAAGCAGTTACCCGAGAGATAGGCAACTGTTGTGGTTTGCAGACCATGATTGGATTGTGTTTAGTGACGAAGGAGAAGGTAAGACATTGAATGTCGTGGGAGACTATATGCGTTACTAGATTTCTTAGTTTGCAAGCTAGACATGCAGAACTGCAATTTTACTGGACGGTTGTGTATACCAATGCCGGGAGTCCATATTTTTATAGAGCATCTTTGTGTGATCTTAGCTATTAACTTAGAAGGGTTCTAAATTGTCGAGGTGATAGTGTTGTTTGGTGGTCACAACGTTGCCAAAATGTGTTGCGTATTTCTGCTGGTAAGAACGTCAAATTGCTCTGTATGAAAGGAATATCTATCAGGTAGTCACCCATCTTATCTCTTGTTGCAGTTTGTTCTTGAGGGAAGAATCCGCAGAGGAATTAAATGGCGTGGGTGGGGTGGTATGGCATTTTGTTTAAACTTTATTGTATACACACAGACCAGTTAGTAATCAGTAAAGAGAGTACGCTGGGTAGGTCAGTGGTCCACTGCGACAACCTGGTCCACGATCTATGGTCTATATGTCACATTCTGGGGGTCCAACACCTTTGATCAATCAGGACTGGTCAAAGGCCTTCGACCGTCTGGCCATTGACTTTGTCTTGCAGATTTTAGAGAGGCTTGGCGTTGCCTCCCGGTTTATAGCTGGGTGCCAGTGTTGTATGCGGGGTGTTGTATGCGGGGTGTTGTATGCGGGGTATTGTAGTCGAGGTGTTGTAGTCGAGTATGTGTGTGAATGGGTTATTTAGTTCTTCGTTTGCCATTGGGCGCTCGGTTCGGCAGGGTTGCCCCTGTCGGTGTCTTTGTTATTTTTCAGGAACCATTGTTTCAGGCGGTGCGAGCTAGGGGGATCTATCGTTTCCCCGCAGTGTCCCAACGGGTTTGGCCTGAGAGTGTGTGGGTATGGTGATGATAAGACTTGTGTTTGTGACTACTGTGGGTTCGGTGGTTGATGTGCAGGACGTGGTGCATAGTTTTGAGTTGGCCGCGTTGGCAGTCATCAACCGTCTGCAATCTTGTATTATGGGGTTAGTGTTGGGTTGATCGGAGGGGTCTTGGCTGCCGGTGGTGCGAGCTTTGCGCATGCTGGGCGTCACCTTGTTTAGTTCTTATGAGGAATCCTTGCGGCAAAATTGGGCGGCGATCTCTCGCTCGGCGGAGGCGGCGGTGGGGATGCTGTCCCAAGAGCCTCGTGACGATTTTTCAGCGGGCGCTGATAGTGAATTGTCGGGTTCTCTAAGATATGGTATTAGGCTCATTGTTTTCCTTTGAGCAGGGCCTACGCGCTGGAGATGGTTGTGTACCGTCATGTGTGGCATGGCCGGTGCTACCCCGGTTCACAGGTCCTCCTTGTGTCAGGGTCTGGCGGAGGGTGGGATAGGTCTGGCAAATGTGTAAGTGAAGTCGGTGGCTGGTTTTTGGGTGACCCTTTGTAGTGGGCTCGGGTTGGGGGATGGTCTCAATTCTTTGGCTCTGTATTTCAGTTCAATTCGGGTGAGTTATGTGGGTGCAGGTCTATCGGGACGTGGAAGTCGTCACCCCGCCGGTCTACTCCTGTGCGGTGCTCATTCTTCGGTCGTCGCTGTGTAGGTCTCTTGCGTATGTGTCATTTGGTTGTCGGGAGGTGTGTCGTGTGCTCTTGGGTGGTGTGGCTCACAGGGTGGGTGGTTGTACCCGTTGTTTGATTTGGGGAGGGGCGGTGTGGGACGCTCTGAGGGGGGCCGTTTCTCACCCCTAAACAAAGGAAGTTGATGTATCGATTTCTTCAGGAGAGACTGGCTAGCACTGCCCAGTTGTTTACGTTGGGTATTGTGGGCTCGGATTGTTGTGCCCATTGTGGGAAGCGTTAGTCTCAACTACATGTGTTTTACATGTGTCGGTGGGTATCCTGTTTGGTGGACTGGGTTCGTGGTGCTATATCTACTTTATGCGGGTCTGATTTGCAGGTAGATTTTCTGCTGTTTTCCTTCGTGTAGTTTCCGAGAGGAAATTGTAGGATTCGACACACTTTGGGGGTGTTGGTGTCAGATTACATTTTTTGTTTGTGGGTTGGTAGGTTGAGAGGGTACGATGTGACTCGGCTCTTGGGGTTCTTGAGGGATAGGCGGCACTACACGATGTGGAGGTTGCGGCGGTCGTTTCCCCGGGTACATGCTCCGTGGTTCATGATGGATTATCAAGTGTTGTGGGGTTCAGCGGGCGGCGGAGTTAGTCATTGTTCTGTATTCTTGGCACGTGAGTTGGGGCTGCGTCTCAAGTTTTGATTGATTGTGTGTGTTTCTAATCTCCTGATCTTTTGTTTGGATGCTTGAGTGAGTTGGGTACATCGGGTTTTTATTGTATGAGGCTGTTTTCTTTGGACGTCCGCCCTACCTTGTTGGATGGTATCCAAAGTTACCATGAGTATTACCATGAATTTTTTCTTTGTCATTGTGCTGCCTTGGCCCCTTTGTATATGGGACCTTCATTGTGCGTGTGTTTCTGTTGCAAGGTTCAGAGGTGTCTTCCCTCCTTGCTCGTTGTGACGGAGCTGCGTATGTGTTGTATGACTTGTGAGGTTCTGACCTTGGAATCTGTTCATTCTGGCCGTGTGTGTGTGTATGCCTCCTTCCTCTCACCGTGGTCAGTTGTCACTCTCACCGTGCTGTTTTCATTTGACTGTCGTATGCTTTTTTTTGTTGGAGTGCCCTTGTTGGGCCTTATTACGGTTTGGGTTATGCCTTATATTTTGTAATGATTTGTGTAGATGGTAACGGCCTCCGTCTGTTGAGGTCCCTTGTGTGTGGTTATTATTTCTTATGTGTTTTCTGTATTTTCTGTCATGTGGTACTGGTGATCTGTACTTACAGTACCTTATCTGTGTTCCACTTGTGTGGATTGGTGTACATATTGGGCGCGTCTGTATGCGCTGTGCCCTGGGTACGTGTGTGTTTTGTATTTGTGTGGTGTATATTTTGTTCAATATAGTTATGTATTGGGTTGTGTGCACCGCTTCTTGCGCTGTATCTTGTGGTATTCATGTACAACAATGATACTTTGGTAGCTTTAATTTTATTTGTATATAATATATATGTTGGTTTATATAATAAAGAAAAAACAAAAAGTAAAGAAGGTAAAAGATCAGCCTTTCTCCATGGTAGATACAGAGCCATCAGGTCTCATTAGAGCCAGTAACGAGGTACTATAGTCCCTCGTTGTTCCATGATGCCACACCAAACCACCAATGACCCGGTCGGTTTGGGAGCCGGTCGGCCGAGCGGACAGCACGCAGGACTTGTCATCCTGTGGTCCTGGGTTCGATCCCAGGCGCCGGCGAGAAACAATGGACAGAGTTTCTTTCACCCTATGCCCTTGTTACCTAGCAGTAAAATAGGTACCTGGGTGTTAGTCAACTGTCACGGCTGCTTCCTGGGGGTGGAAGCCTGGTCGAGGACCGGGCCGCGGGGACACTAAAAAGCCCCGAAATCATCTCAAGATAACCTCAAGATGATCCAAACCACCTGGATCATTGGCCAGTGATCCACCTGATAATATGCTTCCTAATGTCGCGAGCCACCTATTAATAACAGCCCATTTCTGCCCTTATTTCCAGGTCACTGAAGGAAGGAAGGATGGGGACACCTGTCCAATTCCAGGGCCACTCGTGTGTCTTCCTGGTCCATCTGACCTCCATGTCCAGACGATGGCTGGTACACGGCGAGATGACCTGCCCTGACTGGACCCGGTTCAGGGGGAGGGGTGAGTACTCTGAGGGATAGATAGACAGGGTAACTAGGGGATAGGAATGGCTGCTGGATGATAGACAGGTCAACTAAGGGATAAGAATGACTGCTGGAGGATAGACAGGTCAACTAAGGGATAGGAGCGACTGCTGGAGGATAGACACGTCAACTAAGGAATAGGAACGACTGCTGGAGGATAGACACGTCAACTAAGGGATAGGAGCGACTGCTGGAGGATAGACAGGTCAACTAGGGGATAGGAGCGACTGCTGGAGGATAGACAGGTCTGCTAGGTATAGCGTTTTTCAAACTCCTTTTACTTGGACCCAAAGCAACAATGCCTAACATATCAGACACAAACTCTGTGAAATATGTTTTCTTATTTACTATTGACACATAAGTAGATACTTATGAACCCAAATTTAATTAATTTGTAATTAAATTAAAAATGTATAATTTTCGAAATAACATAGACAAATAAAAAGGAACATTTGGCATGAAATTCTAGCAAACAAGACACAGTAAATATTTTTGTTTCAAGTTTTTTTTACTTAATGAGAAGGATGTGCCTAAGCTGTAGATGACAATTAGGAACACAAGAAGACAGTGCTATACGCAAATCTTGGGCAGTGTTGAGCACGTTCCTGTCTTTCGCTGTTATTAATTGAGTTATGGTGGAGAATCTTAGTTCACACAAGCACGAAAAGGTTCATCATAGCATCATGAAAGCCTATTTATTTACAACTGAAAATTCTTCTTTATGACAATACAGAACGAGGACAAATTGCTCAGAATGATTCTTCAGTGTCAATCAAACTGAGAGATGCACCGATTCATCAACAATGGCCTGGCAAAAAGCGAACCATCAAATTCATGAATCTCAGTGATGAGTGAGTGACGGCCTCATGGGATTTTATCTAGATATTTTGATGTTAGTCGAGACCCATTTTATTATTATTATTTTAATTTTTTTGCGACACATTAATGGGTCGGACGGCACAGATTGAGAGGCGTGCTAACTAGGGGACAGGCAGGGACAGTCAGGTCTCCAGACGGCAAGCAGATATGACTGGCAAGCAAATAACTGACAGATGCTTAAATAGATACACTGAAGATAGATAGACTGGGAGATAGAATGGTTCATTTTAAGATTATTCTTAAGATATTATAAGCATATAAGCCTACTATACTTACCTGCCTCACTACCCACAACACCCTCCCCCCCTGCCCCGCTACACCCTCCCCCCCTGCCTCACAACACTCCCCTGCCTCACAACACCCTTCCCTGCCTCACAACACCCCCCTGCCTCACAACACTCCCCTGCCTCACAACACTCCCCTGCCTCACAACACTCCCCTGCCTCACAACACCCTTCCCTGCCTCACAACACTCCCCTGCCTCACAACACTCCCCTGCCGCACAACACCCCCCCCCCTGCCTCACAACACACACCCCCCCTGCCTCACAACACCCCCCTGCCTCACAAGACTCACCTGCCTCACTTGCCACCACAGCCTCTGGACGCAACGTGAGGAAGGTGGTGAGTCGCACGGTACACAACTTCATCAGGCGGGCAGTCAACAAGGGCCTGGTACGTGACGCCGACGACGACGCCGACGACGACGACGACTCCAGCGACGAGAGGGACACTTCGCCTGACGAAGGTCCGCCAGATGACGCTTCGCCTGACGAAGGTCCGCCAGATGACGCTTCGCCTGACGAAGGTCCGCCAGATGACGCTTCGCCTGACGAAGGTCCGCCAGATGACGCTTCGCCTGACGAAGGTCCGCCAGATGACGCTTCGCCTGACGAAGGTCCGCCAGATGACGCTTCGCCAACAGACCAAAGATCACCAACCAAAAAGGTGCCAACTACTAGAGGTGCACCAACCATTACAGATGCACCAACTACTACAGGTGTACCAACTACTACAGATGCACCAACTACTACAGGTGTACCAACTACTACAGATGCACCAACTACTACAGGTGTACCAACTACTACAGGTGCACCAACCACTACAGGTGCACCAACCACTACAGGTGCACCAACCACTACAGGTGCACCAACCATTACAGGTGTACCAACTACTACAGGTGCACCAACTACTACAGGTGCACCAACCACTACAGGTGCACCAACCACTACAGGTGTACCAACTACTACAGGTGCACCAACCACTACAGGTGCACCAACCACTACAGGTGCACCAACCACTACAGGTGCACCAACCACTACAGGTGCACCAACTACTACAGGTGCACCAACCACTACAGGTGCACCAACTACTACAGGTGCACCAACTACTACAGGTGCACCAACTACTACTGGTGCACCAACCACTACAGGTGTACCAACCACTACAGGTGCACCAACCACTACAGGTGCACCAACTACTACAGGTGTACCAACTACTACAGGTGCACCAACCACTACAGGTGCACCAACCACTACAGGTGCACCAACCACTACAGGTGCACCAACTACTACAGGTGCACCAACTACTACAGGTGCACCAACCACTACAGGTGTACCAACCACTACAGGTGCACCAACCACTACAGGTGCACCAACCACTACAGGTGTACCAACTACTACAGGTGCACCAACCACTACAGGTGCACCAACCACTACAGGTGCACCAACCACTACAGGTGCACCAACCACTACAGGTACCAGGTGCACCAACCACTACAGGTGCACCAACCACTACAGGTGCACCAACTACTACAGGTGCACCAACCACTACAGGTGCACCAACTACTACAGGTGCACCAACCACTACAGGTGCACCAACTACTACAGGTGCACCAACCACTACAGGTGCACCAACCACTACAGGTGCACCAACCACTACAGGTGCACCAACCACTACAGGTGCACCAACCATTACAGGTGTACCAACTACTACAGGTGCACCAACCACTACAGGTGCACCAACCACTACAGGTGCACCAACCACTACAGGTGCACCAACCATTACAGGTGCACCAACTACTACAGGTGCACCAACCACTACAGGTGCACAAACCACTACAGGTGCACCAACCACTACAGGTGCACCAACCATTACAGGTGCACCAACTACTACAGGTGCACCAACCACTACAGGTGCACAAACCACTACAGGTGCACCAACCATTACAGGTGCACCAACCACTACAGGTGCACCAACCACTACAGGTGCACCAACCATTACAGGTGCACCAACCATTAGAGGGGCACCAACCATTACAGGTGCACCAACCATTACAGGTGCACCAACCATTACAGGTGCACCAACCACTACAGGTGCACCAACTACTACAGGTGCACCAACCACTACAGGTGCACCAACCATTACAGGTGCACCAACCACTACAGGTGCACCAACCATTACAGGTGCACCAACCACTACAGGTGTACCAACTACTACAGGTGCACCAACTACTACAGGTGTACCAACTACTACAGGTGCACCAACCATTACAGGTGCACCAACCAATACAGGTGCACCAACCATTACAGGTGCACCAACCACTACAGGTGCACCAACCATTACACGTGCACCAACCATTACAGGTGCACCAACCACTACAGGTGCACCAACCATTACAGGTGCACCAACCACTACAGGTGCACCAACCATTACAGGTGCACCAACCACTACAGGTGCACCAACCATTACAGGTGCACCAACCACTACAGGTGCACCAACCATTACAGCTGCACCAACCATTACAGGTGCACCAACCACTACAGGTGCACCAACCATTACAGGTGCACCAACCACTACAGGTGCACCAACCATTACAGGTGCACCAACCACTACAGGTGCACCAACCATTACACGTGCACCAACCACTACAGGTGCACCAACCATTACAGGTGCACCAACTACTACAGGTGCACCAACCACTACAGGTGCACCAACTACTACAGGTGCACCAACCACTACAGGTGCACCAACCATTACAGGTGCACCAACCATTACAGGTGCACCAACCATTACAGGTGCACCAACCATTACAGGTGCACCAACCATTACAGGTGCACCAACCACTACAGGTGCACCAACTACTACAGGTGCACCAACCATTACAGGTGTACCAACCATTACAGCTGCACCAACCATTACAGGTGCACCAACCATTACAGGTGCACCAACCATTACAGGTGCACCAACCATTACAGGTGCACCAACCATTACAGGTGCACCAACCATTACAGGTACACCAACCATTACAGGTGCACCAACCATTACAGGTACACCAACCATTACAGGTGCACCAACCATTACAGCTGCACCAACCATTACAGGTGCACCAACCATTACAGGTGCACCAACCATTACAGGTGCACCAACCATTACAGGTGCACCAACCATTACAGGTGCACCAACCATTACAGGTACACCAACCATTACAGGTGCACCAACCATTACAGGTACACCAACCATTACAGGTGCACCAACCATTACAGCTGCACCAACCATTACAGGTGCACCAACCATTACAGGTGCACCAACCATTACAGGTGCACCAACCATTACAGGTACACCAACCATTACAGGTGCACCAACCACTACAGGTGCACCAACTACTACAGGTGCACCAACCATTACAGGTGTACCAACTACTACAGGTGTACCAACTACTACAGGTGCACCAACCATTACAGGTGCACCAACCATTACAGGTGCACCAACCATTACAGGTGCACCAACTACTACAGGTGTACCAACTACTACAGGTGCACCAACCATTACAGGTGCACCAACTACTACAGGTGCACCAACCACTACAGGTGCACCAACTACTACAGGTGTACCAACTACTACAGGTGTACCAACTACTACAGGTGCACCAACCATTACAGGTGCACCAAGTGTAAAAGAGTCACCAAGTGTAACAGAGTCACCAAGTGTTACAGAGTCACCAAGTGTTACTGAGTCACCAAGTGTTACAGAGTCACCAAGTGTTACTGAGTCACCAAGAGTTACTGAGTCACCAAGTGTTACTGAGTCACCAAGTGTTACTGAGTCACCAATTGTTACAGAGTCACCACGTGTTACTGAGTCACCTCGCGTTACTGAGTCACCTCGCGTTACTGAGTCACCAAGTGTTACTGAGTCACCTCGTGTTACTGAGTCACCTCGTGTTACTGAGTCACCTCGTGTTACTGAGTCACCTCGCGTTACTGAGTCACCTCGCGTTACTGAGTCACCTCGTGTTACTGAGTCACCTCGCGTTACAGAGTCACCTCGTGTTACTGAATCACCTCGTGTTACTGAGTCACCTCGTGTTACTGATTCACCACGTGTTACTGAGTCACCAAGTGTTACTGAGTCACCAAGTGTTACAGAGTCACCTCGTGTTACAGAATCACCAAGTGTTACAGAGTCACCAAGTGTTACTGAGTCACCTCGTGTTACTGAGTCACCAAGTGTTACTGAGTCACCAAGCGTTACTGAATCACCAAGTGTTACTGAGTCACCAAGTGTTACTGAGTCACTCGTGTTACTGAGTCACCTCGTGTTACTGAGTCACCAAGTGTTACTGAGTCACCTCGTGTTACTGAGTCACCTCGTGTTACTGAGTCACCTCATGTAACTGAGTCACCTCGTGTTACTGAGTCACCTCGTGTTACTGAGTCATCAAGTGTAACAGAGTCACCTCGTGTTACTGAGTCACCTCGTGTTACTGAGTCACCTCGTGTTACAGAGTCACCTCGTGTTACTGAGTCACCTCGTGTTACTGAGTCACCTCGCGTTACTGAGTCACCAAGTGTTACTGAGTCACCAAGTGTTACTGAGTCACCTCGTGTTACTGAGTCACCAAGTGTTACAGAGTCACCAAGCGTTACTGAGTCACCTCGTGTTACTGAGTCACCTCGTGTTACTGAGTCACCTCGCGTTACTGAGTCACCAAGTGTTACAGAGTCACCAAGTGTTACTGAGTCACCAAGTGTTACTGAGTCACCAAGTGTTACAGAGTCACCAAGTGTTACTGAGTCACCAAGTGTTACAGAGTCACCAAGTGTTACTGAGTCACCAAGTGTTACAGAGTCACCAAGATTTACTGAGTCACCAAGTGTTACAGAGTCACCAAGTGTTACTGAGTCACCTCGTGTTAGAGTCACCAAGTTACTGAGTCACCAAGTGTTACTGAGTCACCAAGTGTCACAGAGTCACCAAGTATTACAGAGTCACCTCGTGTTACTGAGTCACCTCGTGTTACTGAGTCACTAGTTACTGAGGTACTGAGTCACCTCGTGTTACTGAGTTACCTCGAGTTACTGAGTCACCTCGTGTTACAGAGTCACTAAGAGTTACTGAGTCACCTCGTGTTACTGAGTCACCTCGTGTAACTGAGTCACCTCGCGTTACAGAGTCACCTCGTGTTACTGAGTCACCTCGTTTACTGAGTCACCAAGTGTTACTGAGTCACCTCGTGTTACTGAGTCACCTCGTGTTACTGAGTCACCTCGTGTTACTGAGTCACCAAGTGTTACTGAGTCACCTCGTGTTACTGAGTCATCAAGTGTTACTGAGTCACCAAGTGTTACTGAGTCACCTCGATTTACTGAGTCACCTCGTGTTACTGAGTCACCTCGTGTTACTGAGTCACCTCGTGTTACTGAGTCACCTCGTGTTACTGAGTCACCAAGTGTTACTGAGTCACCTCGATTTACTGAGTCACCTCGTGTTACTGAGTCACCTCGATTTACTGAGTCACCTCGTGTTACTGAGTCACCTCGTGTTACTGAGTCACCAAGCGTTACTGAGTCACCTCGTGTTACTGAGTCACCAAATGTTACTGATTCACCTCGTGTTACTGAGTCACCAAGTGTTACTGAGTCACCTCGATTTACTGAGTCACCTCGTGTTACTGAGTCACCTCGCGTTACTGAGTCACCAAGTGTTACTGAGTCACCTCGATTTACTGAGTCACCTCGCGTTACAGAGTCACCTCGTGTTACTGAGTCACCTCGCGTTACAGAGTCACCAAGATTTACTGAGTCACCAAGTGTTACAGAGTCACCAAGGTTTACTAAGCCACCATGTGTAACAGAGTCACAAAGTGTTACTGAGTCACCAAGTGTTACAGAGTCACCAAGTGTTACAGAGTCACCAAGTGTTACTGAGTCACCAAGTGTTACTGAGTCACCAAGTGTAACAGAGTCACCAAGATTTACTGAGTCACCAAGTGTTAGAGAGTCACCAAGTGTTACAGAGTCACCAAGTGTTACAGAGTCACCAAGTGTTACTGAGTCACCAAGTGTAACAGAGTCACCAAGTGTTACAGAGTCACCAAGTGTAACAGAGTCACCAAGTGTAACAGAATCAACTCGTGTTACTGAGTCACCTCGTGTTACTGAGTCACCTCGTGTTACTGAGTCACCAAGTGTTACTGAGTCACCAAGCGTTACTGAGTCACCTCGTGTTACTGAGTCACCAAGTGTTACAGAGTCACCTCGTGTTACAGAGTCACCTCGTGTTACTGAGTCACCTCGTGTTACAGAGTCATCAAGTTACTGAGTCACCTCGTGTTACTGAGTCACCAAGTGTTACTGAGTCACCAAGTGTTACTGAGTCACCAAGTGTAACAGAGTCACCAAGTGTTACTGAGTCACCAAGTGTTACAGAGTCACCAAGTGTTACTGAGTCACCAAGTGTTACAGAGTCACCAAGTGTTACAGAGTCACCAAGTGTTACTGAGTCACCAAGTGTTACAGAGTCACCAAGTGTTACAGAGTCACCAAGTGTTACTGAGTCACCAAGTGTTACTGAGTCACCAAGTGTTACTGAGTCACCAAGTGTAACAGAGTCACCAAGTGTTACTGAGTCACCAAGTGTTACTGAGTCACCAAGTGTTACTGAGTCACCTCGTGTTACTGAGTCACCTCGTGTTACTGAGTCACCTCGTGTTACTGAGTCACCTCGTGTTACAGAGTCACCAAGTGTTACTGAGTCACCAAGTGTAACAGAGTCACCAAGTGTTACAGAGTCACCAAGTGTTACAGAGTCACCAAGTGTAACAGAGTCACCAAGTGTTACTGAGTCACCAAGTGTTACAGAGTCACCAAGTGTTACAGAGTCACCAAGTGTTACAGAGCCACTAAGTGTAACAGAATCACCAAGTGTAACAGAGTCACCAAGTGTTACTGAGTCACCAAGTGTAACAGAGTCACCAAGTGTTACTGAGTCACCAAGTGTAACAGAGTCACCAAGTGTTACTGAGTCACCAAGTGTAACAGAGACACCAAGTGTTACTGAGTCACCAAGTGTAACAGAGACACCAAGTGTTATAGAGTCAACAACTGATTCATTCTCACCAAGTGTTACAGAGTCACCAAGTGTAACAGAGACAACAACTGATTCATTCTCACCACGTGTTACAGAGTTACCAAGTGTTACAGAGTCACCAAGTGTAACAGAGTCAACAACTGATTCATTCTCACCACCTGTTACAGAGTCACCAAGTGTTACAGAGTCAACAACTGATTCATTCTCACCAACTATTACAGAGTCACCAAGTGCAACAGAGTCACCAAGTGTAACAGAGTCAACAAGTGTTACAGAATCACCAAGTGTTACAGAGTCACCATTTGTAACAGAGTTAACAACTGATTCATTCTCACCAAGTGTTACAGAGTCACCAATTGTTACAGAGTCACCAATTGTTACAGAGTCACCAAGTGTTAAAGATTCACCAAGTGTTACAAAGTCAATTAGGGTAACAAAGTCACCAAGTGTTAGAGAGTCACCAAGTGTTACAGAATCACCAAGTGTTACAGAGTCACCAAGCGTTACAGAGTTAACAACTGATTCATTCTCACCAAGTGTTACAGACTCACCATTTGTAACAGAGTCACCAACTGATTCATTCTCACCAAGTGTTACAGAGTCACCAAGTGTAACAGAGTCAACAACTTATTCGTTCTCACCAAGTGTAACAGAGTCAGCAACTCATTCATTCTCACCAAGTGTTACAGAGTCACCAAGTGTAACAGAGTCACCAAGTGTAGCAGAGTCAACAACTTATTCATTCTCATCAAGTTTTACAGAGTCACCAAGTGTTACAGAGTCAACAACTGATTCATTCTCATCAAGTTTTACAGAGTCTGCAAGTGTTACAGAGTCACCAAGTGTAACAGAGTCAACAACTGATTCATTCTCACCAAGTGTTACAGAGTCACCAAGTATTACAGAGTCACCAAGTGTAACAGAGTCAACAACTGATTCATTCTCACCACGTGTTACAGAGTCACAAGGTGTTACAGAGTCACCAAGTGTAACAGAGTCAACAACTGATTCATTGTCACCAAGTGTAACAGAATCACCAAGTGTAACAGAGTCAACAGCTGATTCATTCTCATCAAGTGTTACAGAGTCACCAAGTGTTACAGATTTACCAAGTGTTACAGAATCACCAAGTATTACAGAGTCATCAAGTGTTACGGAGTCAGCAACTGATTCATCTGATTCATTCCCACCAAGTGTTACAGAGTCACCAAGTGTAACAGAGTCAACAACTGATTCATTCTTCCCAAGTGTTACAGAGTCACCAAGTGTAACAGAGTTAGAAACTGATTCATTCTCACCAAGTGTTACAGAGTCACCAAGTGTAATAGAGTCAACAACTGATTCATTCTCACCAAGTGTTACAGAGTCACCAAGTGTAACAGAGTCAACAACTGATTCATTCTCATCAAGTTTTACAGAGTCTCCAAGTGTTACAGAGTCATCAAGTGTAACAGAGTCAGCAACTGATTCATTCCTACCAAGTGTTACTGAGTCACCAAGTGTAACAGAATCAGCAACTGATTCATTCCCACCAAGTGTAACAGAGTTAGCAACTGATTCATTCTTCCCAAGTGTTACAGAGTCACCAAGTGTTACAGAGTCACCAAGTGTAACAGACTCAGAAACTGATTCATTCTCACCAAGTGTTACAGAGACACCAAGTGTAACAGAGTCAACAACTGATTCATTCTCATCAAGTTTTACAGAGTCTCCAAGTGTTACAGAGTCACCAAGTGTAACAGAGTCAGCAACTGATTCATTCCCACCAAGTGTTACAGAGTCACCAAGTGTAACAGAGTCAGCAACTGATTCATTCCCACCAAGTGTTACAGAGACACCAAGTGTAACAGAGTCAACAACTGATTCATTCTCACCAAGCGTTACAGAGTCACCAAGTATTACAGAGTCACCAAGTGTAACAGAGTCAACAACTGATTCATTCTCACCACGTGTTACAGAGTCACCAAGTGTTATAGAGTCACCAAGTGTAACAGAGTCAACAACTGATTCATTCTCACCAAGTGTTACAGAGTCACCAAGTGTAACAGAGTCAACAACTGATTTATTCTCACCAAATGTTACAGAGTCACCAAGTGTTATAAAGTCACCAAGTGTAACAGAGTCAGAAACTGATTCATTCTCACCAAGTGTTACAGAATCACCAACTGATTCATTCTCACCAAGTGCTACAGACTCACCAAGTGTTACAGAATCACCAAGTGTTACAGACTCACCAAGTGTTACAGACTCACCAAGTGTTACAGAGTCACCAAGTGTTTCATGGTTAACAACTGATTCATTCTCACCAAGTGTTACAGACTCACCAAGTGTTACAGAGTCACCAAGTGTTACAGAGTCACCAAGTGTTTCAGAGTCAACAACTGATTTATTCTCACCAAGTGTTACAGAGTCACCAAGTGTTACAGAGTCACCAAGTGTTATAGAGTCACCAAGTGTTACAGAGTCACCAAGTATTACAGAGTCACCAAGTGTAACAGAGTCAACAACTGATTCATTCTCAGCAAGTGTTACAGAGTCACCAAGTATTACAGAGTCACCAAGTGTTACAGAGTCACCAAGTGTTACAGACTCACCAAATGTTACAGAGTCACCAAGTGTTACAGAGTCACCAAGTGTAACAGACTCAACAACTGATTCATTCTCACCAAGTGTTACAGAGTCACCAAGTGTTACAGAGTCACCAAGTGTTACAGAGTCACCAAGTGTTACAGAGTCACCAAGTGTTACAGACTCACCAAATGTTGCAGAGTCACCAAGTGTTACAGAGTCACCAAGTGTAACAGAGTCAACAACTGATTCATTCTCACCAAGTGATACAGAGTCACCAAGTGTTACAGAGTCACCAAGTATTACAGAGTCACCAAGTGTTACAGAGTCATCAACTGATTCATTCTCACCTCGTGTTACAGAGTCACCAAGTGTTACAGAGTCACCAAGTGTTACAGAGTCAACAACTGATTCATTCTCACCAAGTGTTACAGAGTCACCAAGTATTACAGAGTCACGAAGTGTTACAGAGTCACCTAGTGTTACAGACTCACCAAATGTTACAGAGTCACCAAGTGTTACAGAGTCACCAAGTGTAACAGAGTCAGCAACTGATTCATTCTTCCCAAGTGTTACAGAGTCACCAAGTGTAACAGAGTCAGAAACTGATTCATTCTCACCAAGTGTTACAGACTCAGCAAGTGTAACAGAGTCAACAACTGATTCATTCTCACCAAGTGTTACAGAATCACCAACTGATTCATTCTCACCAAGTGTTACAGACTCACCAAGTGTTACAGACTCACCAAGTGTTACAGACTCACCAAGTGTTACAGAGTCACCAAGTGTTACAGAGTCACCAAGTGTTACAGAGTCACCAAGTGTTACAGAGTCAACAACTCATTCATTCTCACCAAGTGTTACAGGATCACCAAGTGTTACAGACTCACCAAGTGTTACAGAGTCACCAAGTGTTTCAGAGTCAACAACTGATTCATTCTCACCAAGTGTTACAGAGTCACCAAGTGTTGCAGACTCACCAAGTGTTACAGAGTCATCAAGTGTTACAGAGTCACCAAGTGTTACAGAGTCACCAAGTATTACAGACTCACCAAGTGTAACAGAGTCAACAACTGATTCATTCTCACCAAGTGTTACAGAGTCACCAAGTGTAACAGAGTCAACAACTGATTCATTTTCACCAAGTGTTACAGAGTCACCAAGTGTTACAGGATCACCAAGTGTTACAGACTCACCAAGTGTTACAGAGTCACCAAGTGTTACAGACTCACCAAATGTTACAGAGTCACCAAGTGTTACAGAGTCACCAAGTGTTACAGAGTCACCAAGTGTTACAGACTCACCAAATGTTACAGAGTCACCAAGTGTTACAGAGTCACCAAGTGTAACAGAGTCAACAACTGATTCATTCTCACCAAGTGTTACAGAGTCACCAAGTGTAACAGAGTCAACAACTGATTCATTTTCACCAAGTGTAACAGAGTCACCTAGTGTAACAGAGTCAGCAACTGATTCATTCTTCCCAAGTGTTACAGAGTCACCAAGTGTTATAAAGTCACCAAGTGTAACAGAGTCAGAAACTGATTCATTCTCATCAAGTGTTACAGACTCACCAAGTGTTACAGAATCACCAAGTGTTACAGAGTCACCAAGTGTTACAGAGTCACCAAGTGTTTCAGAGTCAACAACTGATTCATTCTCACCAAGTGTTACAGGATCACCAAGTGTTACAGACTCACCAAGTGTTACAGAGTCGCCAAGTGTTACAGAGTCACCAAGTGTTTCAGAATCAACAACTGATTCATTCTCACCAAGTGTTACAGAGTCACCAAGTGTTACAGAGTCGTTAACTGATTCATTCTCACGAAGTGTTACAGAGTCACCAATTGTTACAGAGTGACCAATTGTTACAGAGTCACCAATTGTTACAGAGTCACCAAGTGTTAAAGATTCACCAAGTGTTACAAAGTCAATTAGGGTAACAGAGTCACCAAGTGTTAGAGAGTCACCAAGTGTTACAGAATCACCAAGTGTTACAGAGTCACCAAGTGTTACAGAGTCACCAAGTGTTACAGAGTCAACAACTGATTCATTCTCACCAAGTGTTACAGAGTCACCAAGTGTTACAGACTCACCAAGTGTTACAGAGTCACCAAGTGTTACAGAATCACCAAGTGTTACAGAGTCACCAAGTATTACAGAGTCACCAAGTGTAACAGAGTTAACAACTGATTCATTCTCAGCAAGTGTTACAGACTCACCTCGTGTTACAGAGTCACCAAGTGTTACAGAGTCACCAAGTGTTACAGAGTCAACAACTAATTCATTCTCACCAAGTGTTACAGAGTCACCAAGTATTAGAGAGTCACCAAGTTTTAATGAGTCACCAAGTGTAACAGAGTCACCAAGTGTTACAGAGTCACCAAGTGTTATAGAGTCACCAAGTGTTACCGAGTCAACAACTGATTCATTCTCAGGAAGTGATACAGAGTCACCAAGTGTTACAGATTCATCAACTGATTCATTCTCACAAAGTGTTACAGAGTTATCAGGTCTTACAGATTCAACAACTGATTCATTCTCGGGAAGTGATACAGAGTCACCAAGTGTTACAGAATCACCAAGTGTTACAGAGTCACCAAGTGTTACGGAGTCAACAACCGATTCATTCTCACCAAGTGTTACAAAGTCCCCAAGTGTTACAGAATCACCAAGTGTTACAGAGTCACCAAGTGTTACGGAGTCAACAACCGATTCATTCTCACCAAGTGTTACAGAATCACCAAGTGTTACAGAGTCATCAACTGATTCATTCTCAGCAAGTCTCACAGAGTCACAAAGTGTTACAGAGTCACCAATTCTTACAGAGTCACCAAGTCTTACAGAGTCAACAAGTCTTACAGAGTCACCAAGTGTTACAGAGTCAACAACGGATTCATTCTCACCAATATCACAGAGTAACCAATCGTCACAGCATCACCAAGCGTTACAGTCACCAAATACCACTGACTGACTGACTGGTTTTGACAGTTATAAACTCATTGAGACTTGCCTTGCATTAGTCCTCAAATGAGTCACCAAGTGTTACAGAGTCACCAATCGTTACAGAGTCACCAATCGTTACAGAGTCACCAAGTGTTACAGAGTCACCAAGTGTTACAGAGTCACCAAGCGTTACTGAGTCACCAAGTGTTACAGAGTCACCAAGTGTTACAGAGTCACCAAGCGTTACAGAGTCACCAAGTGTTATAGAATCACCACGCGTAGTCACCAAGCGTTACAGAGTCAACAAGTGTTACAGAGTCACCAATCGTTACAGAGTCACTAAGTGTTACAGAGTCACCAAGTGTTACAGAGTCACCAAGCGTTACAGAGTCAACCAGTGTTACAGAGTCACCAAGTGTTACAGAGTCACCAAGCGTTACAGAATCACTATATATAAAGTCACAAGTCTATGTAAGTTTGCTACGTTGGTTGACAGTCAGAACGTTACAGATGTAACACCTGTTTGTCACGCAAGTGTTCTATTGTTATAAAGCTGACAACTAATACCTATGGATCTACCACTACAGATGCGCCAACCACTACAGAGGCACCAACCACTACAGAGGCACCAAAAGAGTCATCAGTCAGTCACTATAGAGTCACCACTATAGGCTCACAGACATACAAAGGATTGGAGATGCTCGTGTCACCATGTGTTGGAAAGTCACCACTTAATCCAGTCACCAGTTAGTCAAGTCACCAGTTAAACTGTATGAACACATCTGGATAGACCTGGTGATCTACAGTCACCAAGTGTTTAATAGTCACCAGGTGTTATACAGTCACATCTGTTCTACAGTACAGTCACCAGGTGATTCAGAATCCTTATTATGCCAGTCATCAAGGGATTCAGTCACCATTTTACCAGTTATCAAGGATTATGTCAGTCACCAGCCAAGAAAGGGGGGTAGAAATAGTCTAAGCTACTCTATCCCTTTGAGATGTATTTATTGCTTATCTCAATAAACATACTTGAACTTGAACATCACAGAAAAGTTAGCTAAAGTGCCAACACCTCGAAGCCTCTACACTCCCAGGAAGACTCTACAAGAGTACCAGAGTTTACAGCTCATTATGTAAAGTTTACAGTTCATTATGTAAAGTTTACAGCTCATTATAGTTTAGAGTTTACAGCTCAAAATCACTTCAGAAATACGTTTTTCACTCTTGATATCCTCAGCGGATATCTACTTTCCTCAGCGGAAAGTAGATAACTGTGTATAGTAATATTCCTTTTATCTTTTCTGTTTCTGTTTATTAGGCGAAGTGTTATATATAAACCCGATAACAGCCCCGATAACAGCCCGATAACAGTACAAACGGAGTGTTGATAACTAACCGTTTAAGTTATTTTTCCAAAAATGTATATTGGCGTCGTTATAATTAATTTGATTCTGTTGTTCTGTTTATTATCCGTTTATAATTATTACTTGTATTATTATTAGTAGTAGTAGTATGATTATTATTGTTGTAATTAATAATGGTATGATTGTAATGAAATATAACATCTCGTTGATACAACAACTTGGTTTGATTGATACCAGAGAGTGGGGAGGTACGCCTGGTATACCAGGTATACCAAGTATACCAGGTACGCTTCTTGGTGTATAGTATGGGAACTTTCTCCCAATATACACAAATAATACAAACATGAAAGCCGTAGGCTGTCTGTGATTGCTGTATGATAACTTGTTATAATTACTAATAAAACTTACTGTAAACACTCCTAACTCCATTATTAGTTATACTTTCACGTGACTAATACGCTAATGAGGAGGGAAGATATAATAATATATTAAACAGAACGTTTATATGTGGAATGTCACAGTGTTAAAAGTTAGGCTATCTCTCACACAGCAGAAAATTGAATCGAATGAAAGTACACCAATAATAATTTAACAGCAACACCGTTCCTGTTTGCCAACTGCGACCTTTCAACTTAATGTTCCTGATTAGATACATAAATTGTAATGAACTATATAAAGGGAGCAATATGGCAATAATTACAGAGGTGAGGACAGGACCCGCGGGACGCGCAGAGGGTCACTCGTCCTCGTGACGTGACCGAGGGCGGACGTACGCCTCCATCTCCCGTCCACCAGATCTCTCCTGACGTAACACATGATCTACCTGACTTCATGTTGCCCTAACTAACAGGTAGATACACTTGATCAGTAGCCTCGTACTACTAGCTAACTACTTACGTCTGTACGTATCCTTCTCATGGGCGTCCAAGTCACTTTAACGCAGTGTAGAGAAGAAGAACAACTTTCCTGCAAAATAAGACAGGTTGCTTCCGTCTGCGTCTTGAGTCAGATGACGCAGGCAGTGCAGCTAGGCCTACCCTTGTCCATTATTCAGCCTATATCAGACAGGCCTTCAAGCGTGAATATCATTAGGCAGGGTTGTCGTTAGAACACTTATCACAACTCCCAAAAAAAGTTGTTTTACTGTGTAACTGTTATAAGAACTCTAGAGATACATTAGTCGTAACCAAAGACTTGAATCAGTGAATACGGTGATATGCCGTTGCATATCTAATTCAGACTAATGCATAAGACTAATTCAATATATGACATTATGCGCCCTTGTTTATTTTTTAGTGCAAACAGCTTTCTACGGACGTTGGTGAAAGCCCGGACGTTGTTGTAGAGCCCCGGGCGTTGTTGTAGAGCCCCGGACGTTGTTGTAGAGCCCCGGGCGTTGTTGTAGAGCCCCGGGCGTTGCTGTAAGGCCCCGGGCGTTGCTGTAACATCTTTGAAATCTATTCCATTTAGGTGTTCTGATTGCGTTGTCAAGTGTCGCTTGAGCCTGTGTGGGTAACCTCTCCTCTTACAAAGAACGTCGCTTTTCGCTCGTATGCGTTACCTAAAGGCCAAAAACATTGCCGTACGAATATGCGGCTGGACTAAAGTATAGTTGCTGGGTGATCAGTTAGCTGTATTGACGGTGTTAACGACCCTCGAAAGGTTAATTGGCCACAAGGCTGACACCACCACCGGGGAACTGCTCCCCGCGCCTGCGCACGGTCGCACAAGTAAGTCTTGCTATTATTAAGGCGAAAGTCTGTGGGTTACAAGGCTTGGGTGAGGCTTGTCTGCAGTGAACGTGTTGATAAGGTTGTCGTTGTCTTCGCACGTGATTGATAGTTGTGTCGTTAGACGGAGGCGCGGTTACACCCACTGTCCAAATGATGTAAAGATCACTTCTGTACAGTAGGATCAGGGGCCAGATTCACAAAGCAGTTACGCAAGCACTTACGAACGTGTACATCTTTGATGGCTTTGGCTACATTTATAAAACAGTTTACAAGGATGAAAACTTGCCAATCAACTGTTGTTATAAACAGCCCGCTGGTGCTCCGGAGCTCATTAACTGTTTAATAATTGTAAACAAAGCCGGCAAAGATTTAGTAAAGATTCATGTAAACGATTCATAAAGACATGTAAAGATTCGTAAGTGTTTGCGTAACTTCTTTGTGAGTCTAGCCCCAGATTCACGAAGCAGTTACGCAAACACTTACGAACCTGTATATCTTTTCTCAATCTTTCGGGGCTTTGTTTACAGTTATTAGACAGTTAATGAGCTCCGAAGCACCAGGAGGCTGTTTATAACAATAACAACAGTTGACTGGGAAGTTTTCATGCTTGTAAACGGTTTAATAAATGTAACCAAAGCCTTGAAAGATTGAGGAAAGATGTACACGTTCGTAAGTACTTGCGTAACTGCTTCGTGAATCTGGCCCCGGGTGCTTGAGGTGCCCCAGGAGTGTTCCATGTCCCTGTCAACACTGTCTCTGGTCCATGGAACTGTTATGGGCGGTAACTAATTATTAAATTAAATTACAAAATAGTGACATGTGATAAAGTCAGTTAATGTATGAGAAAATGCCCGTTTTTATTACATTTCGTTTAAATTTACGAATGCGTCTTAAGGATCGTTCGTGGCTTGGAAGACGTCACACGCCATAACAAATTAAATTCAACAAAAAGGCAGACGTGATCATGTGACGCAGTGTGTCTTGGGCAGCATAACCTGCTTCACTGTGTGAGGTCAGACGAGGTTGGGGCTTGTGGTGGGGGGAACCCCTTTTGATGCGGGTGGTGGTGGGGGGAACCCCTATTGATGGGGGTGGTGGTGGGGGGAACCCCTTTTGATGGGGGGTGGTGGTGGGGGGAACCCCTTTTGATGGGGGTGGTGGTGGGGGGGACCCCTTTTGATGGGGGTGGTGGTGGGAGGAACCCCTTTTGATGGGGTTGGTGGTGGGGGGAACCCCTTTTGATGGGGGTGGTGGTGGGGGGGAACCCCTTTTGATGGGGGTGGTGGTGGGGGGAACCCCTTTTGATGGGGCTGGTGGTGGGGGGTACCCCTTTTGATGGGGGTGGTGGTGGGGGGAACCCCTTTGGATGGGGTTGTGAGGAGGGGGGAGGGTAGGGAGGGGTTTGGTATCAACTGTTCTCGTAACCTTGACTTGACTTCCTCCACACATGCACACACAGCTCGGGCCTCGAGGCTGAGTGGACAGCGCTTGGGTGGTCGTAATCTTAATGGCCCGGGTTCGATTCCCGGTAGAGGTGGAAACAAATGGGCAGTTTCTTTCACCATGATGCTCCGGTTCACCTAGCAGTAAATAGGTACCTGGGAGTTAGACGGGCTGCTTCCTGGGTGTGTGTGTGTGTGTATTCACCTAGTTGTATTCACTTAGTTGTACTTGCGGGGGTTGAGCTCTGCTCTTTCGGCCCGCCTCTCAACTGTCAATCAACTGTTTCTACTACTACTTCCCCCCCCCCCCAACACACACACACACACACCAGGAAGCAGCCCGTGACAGCTGACTAACTCCCAGGTACCTATTTACTGCTAGGTAACAGGGGCATAGGGTGAAAGAAACTCTGCACCCTATGCCCCTGTTACCTAGCAGTAAATAGGTACCTGGGAGTTAGTCAGCTGTCACAAGCAACTTCCTGAAGTGTGCGTATGTGTGGTGTGGGGGGAAAAAAGGACGTGATGTATGTGTGCGTGTAGTAGAAATATATATAGTAGACATAATAGAGGAAAAATAAATTGGTTAGAAAGGCGGGGTCCAAGAGCTAATAGCTCGATTCTGCAGACACAAATAGTAAATACACCAATACACTTTAACTAGGCGAGTACACATGAGGCGACAAAACGCCCCAAGGGACCTCTTATATGTATACAAAGTCACGGCATCGATCTCTCCTTAATGCTAAGGAACGCAGCAGGAAATTGGAGAAAGGAGATCTACCAAACAGCTAGAAGACTGCCAGAGTCATACATTTTTAAAGCACCGAATCACCTTCTGTGGTTGAGTGTTCAATAAACCCTTGAACTATATGTTTAACACATCTCTAACCCTGTCCATGGAGGACAGAAGAAAATGTATATATGCTGGTTAGCATTGTAAATGTGTGGCCACGTCTGTGGTAGAAAATAATAAAAAAAAAAAAGTCATACCCATATAGGATCAATCTTGAAATTCACAGATGCTGGGCAGCTAATTTTAGATGGATTGAGAAATGAAATCAAAATTAAAAATATATTTCGTATATTATTAAACAATATTTCATATCATTTTCCTGAAGAATTGATCATTTTAATTACAAAATAAAAAATCATTAGTTAAGATAGAACAATACAATCAAAAGCTTCAATTCAAAAACTCTTCGGAATATTAACTGTTCAACTTACCATCATATTTCATTATCATATACTAATCTTTATTAAGGATTATTAAAAAACAAACAATATAATTATATTATATTCACAAATAATTTTGTTGATTGTAATAATAGTCATAAAATACTTTAGAAAAACATGGAAAATACTGTTATAAACATGTAATCAGATCTAAGGTTTGCAGAGGGGAACAGAGATCTATAATATTAAGAAGGCAACTGAACCCGCTCACTAGTAGTTAACACTAAAGATGCTCAGTTGGACCACGACCCACAACACCTGACTGCTGAATACGATCACCTCCTCTAGCGGGAGATCTTAAAACTAAACATAACAAAATTTTCATTTATGCTCCATGAAGTTAAATTTCCGATACCCCGGATGTCTTGATGTTGACGTAGGTGATGGAGAGGTCCTTGGGGACGGAGCCCGGCCTGTAGGCCACCATCAGCCCCAGGAACCCTATGGCTAGAAGGATACCTAGGAAGATCATGCCGAAGGCCAGCCATGTCATGTCTCCTGGGGAGGGACACGGGACGATTACTGTGTTATCTCTCTCTCTCTCTCTCTCTCTCTCTCTCTCTCTCTCTCTCTCTCTCTCTCTCTCTCTCTCTCTCTCTCTCTCTCTCTCTCTCTCTCTCTCTCTCTCTCTCTCTCTCTCTCTCTCTCTCTCTCTCTCTTGCGCTCGCGCTCTCGCTCTCGCGCTCTCTCACTCACACACACACACCTGGGGTATACTGACCTGGGGTATACTGGTTGTCATTCTGCTGCTGCTGGGCGAGCCAACTGGCGTAATCCAGGTCACCGAAGAGGTCACCTGTGGAGACCAGATCACAATGTTTACAAACACTACTTAAGACATCCGTCCCCGTAACCTCAGCTTAATCGATAACCATTAAACAGCTTACGTCCTGCGAGATCCTTAGCGACTTAAGGTTGATATTGCTATGATGGTAGCGATGAGGGAGGTCATGATACCATGCAACCATGATTTGCCTGGCGTACTGCTACCATATATAATGCCACCACTACCATACTTACGTGAATAATGGTCGCATGTTGTCGCAGTGAGGAGCTTGAGGCCCTTCTCACCCAGGTGGTGAGTGCCGAGGAAGCACAGGCCCCTGGCACCCTCATTCTCCTCCCCACACACTCCGTATTCTTCCTGGTGGCACTCCGAGCAGAAGTCGAAGCTCTGGCACACCTCGTCAGGGTCTGAGAGAGAGAGAGGCACACGGATCGTCAGTCAAGGTGTCGAACCAGTGTCACTAGCTGCTATTATGACCTGTTGGGGCCCCTCTGTGGCTGTCTTACAACACCCCTGACACCTCTGGCACCCCCTGGCACTGTCTCATCTTACCGTCAAGGCAGAACTTGGCACAGCTGGAGGAATCGGACCTGACAGCTGCCAGCTTGTGCTTGTCGGTCGACATGCCCTGGTGGGGGTACTGGCTGAAGATGGCGTCAGACTTCTCTGTCGAATACATTGATGTTAGTGTCGAATACATTGCTGTTAGTGTCGACTACATTGCTGTTAGTGTCGACTACATTGATGTTGGTGTCGAATACATTGATGTTGGTGTCGAATACATTGATGTTGGTATCGAATACATTGATGTTGGTGTCGAGTACATTGATGTTGGTGTCGAATACATTGATGTTGGTGTCGAATACATTGATGTTGGTGTCGAATACATTGATGTTGGTGTCGAATACATTGATGTTGGTGTCGAATACATTGATGTTGGTGTCGAATACATTGATGTTGGTGTCGAATACATTGATGTTGGTGTCGAATACATTGATGTTGGTGTCGAATACATTGATGTTGGTGTCGAATACATTGATGTTGGTGTCGAATACATTGATGTTAGTGTCGAATAAACTACCTCCATAGCTGGAGTAATGAATACAGGAGGTGTAAACTTACTGGAGTAGTGTATACAGATGTAAACTTACTGGAGTAGTGTATACAGGAGGTGTAAACTTACTGGAGTAGTGTATACAGGAGGCGTTGGTAACGTAGCCGCCGCCGCCAGCCACGTCGAGGAAGTGCTCCTGGTGTAGGTGGCACGCCAGCTCCAGGTAGCACCACTCGAAGCTCTGGCACTTGATGCTCGTCTCGGTGGAGCAGTGCCTGCGGGGGAGGGCATGTGGAAGGGTGGAAGGAAGGGACGGTGGGAGGGAGGGTAGAGAAGGGAAGGGAGAGTACGAGTTGGTGATTCAAGATAATAACGAGGTAACGGAAGCTGTAATCATAGCTGACTGTTATTGCATTAATAAAATAATATAAAACTTTAGTAAAAACTATAAATGTGAACACACACACACGCGCACACACACGCATACACACACACACACACACACGCATACACATACACACGCATACACACACACACGCATACACACTTACATAGCACATGTCTCAATATGGTTGACGTTGGCGTAGACGGGACCGTTGGAAGTGAGGGCCACGCCCCCCAAGATGGGCTGGTAGTCCACCAAGTACGACCCTGCAACCACACACCAGGTCAGCCGGGGGAGTGAGAGAGAGAGAGAGAGAGAGAGAGAGAGAGAGAGAGAGAGAGAGAGAGAGAGAGAGAGAGAGAGAGAGAGAGAGAGAGAGAGAGAGAGAGAGAGAGAGAGAGAGAGAGAGAGAATATGTCATATATAAATTATTGTTTACCTTCCGACTTATACATATTCCTCCTTGTTATATCTATCAATCCCCATACACATTCCCCTCCACCGTACTAGACTGCTAGTACTACTAGTATTAAGACTACCAATACTACTAAACTACATCATATTTGTTCATTACGTGTGTGAGATTCGATCCTGCAACACATGGGACTCTTTAAGAGAGCCCACCACACTAACCAGCTACCAGGAACTCACTGGAGTAGATATAGGACTCCGTGTGCGGGACCAGCTCTGTCTGGTTGATGGCGTGGTAGTGTTTAGACACGATGAGACACTGTTTCTCTCTCCTGAGGTGGACCACAGTCTCGCAGCGGAAGGTCCGCCAGTCTACACACAGCTTCAGGCACCGGTCAACCAGGGTGATCTGCCCAACAGTTAGAGGAAGGTCAGTTAAGAGCCAGGTGGAGCGGCCAAAGCCGGAGATTAAGCTGGGGTATGATGACCTTACTTAAGATGAAGAAGGATTGAAGTGCCTCACTCAGCACTCTCTAGAGAGGCACAGAGCAAGGAGACTATGATGGAAGTTGTAAAACACGTGGGTGTTGTGAGTGTGGATGTAAACGGGACCCGCCCAGTATGGGACAACAGAGACTCCTGTTGGGAGATATTTTCTACTACTTTGGACATGAATTTGTTTGAAGGTGACCAAGAGCGAGACTTATGACCCCGTGTCATGATCCAACACTGACCCCGTGTCATGATCCAACACTGACCCCGTGTCGTGACCTTACACTGACCCCGTGTCGTGACCTTACACTGACCCCGTGTCGTGACCTTACACTGACCCCGTGTCGTGACCTTACACTGACCCCGTGTCGTGACCTTACACTGACCCCGTGTCATGATCCAACACTGACCCCGTGTAATGACCCAACACTGACCCCGTGTCATGATCCAACACTGACCCCGTGTAATGACCCAACACTGACCCCGTGTCATGACCCAACACTGACCCCGTGTAATGACCCAACACTGACCCCGTGGCATGACTCAACACTGACCCCGTGTAATGACCCTACACTGACCCCGGGTCGTGACCTTACACTGACCCCGTGTCGTGACCTTACACTGACCCCGTGTCGTGACCCAACACTGACCCCGTGTCGTGACCTTACACTGACCCCGTGTCGTGACCTTACATTGGAGACAAGGTTGTCCGGATGAGCGATGGTGGTGGCTGAGCTCTCCAGAGTGAACTGAGCCCTGATCTCATCGTTGGGGTCCGGTGTTCGGTAGAAGAGACTGGCAGAGGCAACGAAGGTCACTATTAGGTCCTCCTGTTAAGACAAGTGGGGGCGCTGTTAGTGCTAACAGGGCGGGGGGCCACCTAACTGTCACTATAACGGTTAGGTAACCTGGTTTACCTGGTTTTACTTCGTGCATTTTGAGTTTACTTTTTGTTTTATTATCCGCTTTATTTTTTATGTCGTGATCATGTCAGATCTGTTTTAATCGTTCATTTAAGACTGGAAGGTTAACGGGCTTAAACGTTTCCTTAACCAGGTGTTGTTGGGAGTGGCAGACCCCCCTCACAGCACTCACACGCCCACCCCCGCTCTTCACTACACACCACACACCTCCCCGCACCACCACACACCTCCCCACACCACCCCACGCCACCCCACACCACCCCACACCACCCCACACCTCCCCACACCACCCCACACCTCAAGACACCACCCCACACCTCAAGACACCACCCCACACCACCCCACACCTCCCCACACCCACCTTGTAAGGAATGCTGAACCTGAAATCCTTATCATTGATGGCGTGGAGAATCTTGTCGTAGACGACCTCTGAGGGCGGGTCCTCGAAGGTGACATTGGAGAGGTCGTAGACCCAGTGGCGGCACTTCTTGTACTGGTCCAAGCTGGTCCCGTCGGATCCGTTGAGGGCACTCAGGAAACACACTTGCTCTTCGCCGCAGTGGTGGAACGACCTGGGGACAAGGAGTCGGGGCTTAGGAGGTCGTAGCAACAGGAAGATCAGGAGGCCGTGGTGGCAGGAGGACTTGGAAGCAGTAAGAGCAAGACTAGGAGGTGAAGTGTGGCATAGAAGCGACCTAGTCTTGAGGGAAAAGCATGTCAGCCTAACGTGAACAAGCATGTCATCTATACGACCACCACGGCTAAAGCACTTGTGGCAGCGAAAAGTCCTACCATTGATATATAATAATTGTAAATACAAAGCTATTGAAATGGAACCATTTCTGTTACTAGCTGACATTATAATTATAAGGTGTGTGCAAAACAGGTGTTATTGTTAATGTAATAATCTCCGTTGAGGTCTGATGAAGACCTTTTGTGCCCTCTGTAATCATTTTTGCGCTACCGCTCACAGGATTGGTATGGGGTGCACAATAAACACAATATTCGTAAATAAACGGGGTAAAGAAAGTCGATACTAACTTGGCACAGTTTTTTATATGTATATAAGTATATATATATATATATATTAGTATATATATAGCATCTTTATATAGACATATATTATTAAATATGACCGAAAAAGTAAGATTAATAATTCTAACACGAATTTTCTCAATCTTTCGTACATTACGCTTCACTGTTGGAGGTAAATCAAAAATCACTTCTCCAAAATTCATTTTTATTTCTAGTCTGACGCGACACGGGCGCGTTTCGTAAAACTTATTACATTTTCAAAGACTTCACAAATACACAACTGATTAGAACTTACGTATCTCTGCTATTATATCTACATTTGAGTGAGGTGGGAGGGATGATGTGGCATATAGTGATGTGGCATTAACACAAGACAGAACATGAGGGGATATTAATAGGGTATTAAAAGTATCAACACAAGACAGAACAGAAACAATGGGTATTGAATAGAAGTGTTTGTAGAAAGCCTATTGGTCCATATTTCTTGATGCTTCTATATTGGAGCGGAGTCTTGAGGTGGGTAGAATATAGTTGTGCAATAATTGGCTGTTGATTGCTGGTGTTGACTTCTTGATGTGTAGTGCCTCGCAAACGTCAAGCCGCCTGCTATCGCTGTATCTATCGATGATTTCTGTGTTGTTTACTAGGATTTCTCTGGCGATGGTTTGGTTATGGGAAGAGATTATATGTTCCTTAATGGAGCCCTGTTGCTTATGCATCGTTAAACGCCTAGAAAGAGATGTTGTTGTCTTGCCTATATACTGGGTTTTTTGGAGCTTACAGTCCCCAAGTGGGCATTTGAAGGCATAGACGACGTTAGTCTCTTTTAAAGCGTTCTGTTTTGTGTCTGGAGAGTTTCTCATGAGTAGGCTGGCCGTTTTTCTGGTTTTATAGTAAATCGTCAGTTGTATCCTCTGATTTTTGTCTGTAGGGATAACGTTTCTATTAACAATATCTTTCAGGACCCTTTCCTCCGTTTTATGAGCTGTGGAAAAGAAGTTCCTGTAAAATAGTCTAATAGGGGGTATAGGTGTTGTGTTAGTTGTCTCTTCAGAGGTTGCATGGCTTTTCACTTTCCTTCTTATGATGTCTTCGATGAAACCATTGGAGAAGCCGTTATTGACTAGAACCTGCCTTACCCTACAGAGTTCTTCGTCGACTTGCTTCCATTCTGAGCTGTGGCTGAGAGCACGGTCGACGTATGCGTTAACAACACTCCTCTTGTACCTGTCAGGGCAGTCGCTGTTGGCATTTAGGCACATTCCTATGTTTGTTTCCTTAGTGTAGACTGCAGTGTGGAAACCTCCGCCCTTTTCCATGACTGTTACATCTAGAAAAGGCAGCTTCCCATCCTTTTCCGTCTCGTAAGTGAAACGCAGCACGGAACTCTGCTCAAATGCCTCCTTCAGCTCCTGCAGATGTCTGACATCAGGTACCTGTGTAAAAATGTCGTCAACATACCTGCAGTATATGGCCATATACTTCATATACAAGACTTTTTGCTCGAGACATATACTTCATATGGTATATGAAGAACTCTGTAGGGTAAGGCAGGTTCTAGTCAATAACGGCTTCTCCAATGGTTTCATCGAAGACATCATAAGAAGGAAAGTGAAAAGCCATGCAACCTCTGAAGAGACAACTAACACAACACCTATACCCCCTATTAGACTATTTTACAGGAACTTCTTTTCCACAGCTCATAAAACGGAGGAAAGGGTCCTGAAAGATATTGTTAATAGAAACGTTATCCCTACAGACAAAAATCAGAGGATACAACTGACGATTTACTATAAAACCAGAAAAACGGCCAGCCTACTCATGAGAAACTCTCCAGACACAAAACAGAACGCTTTAAAAGAGACTAACGTCGTCTATGCCTTCAAATGCCCACTTGGGGACTGTAAGCTCCAAAAAACCCAGTATATAGGCAAGACAACAACATCTCTTTCTAGGCGTTTAACGATGCATAAGCAACAGGGCTCCATTAAGGAACATATAATCTCTTCCCATAACCAAACCATCGCCAGAGAAATCCTAGTAAACAACACAGAAATCATCGATAGATACAGCGATAGCAGGCGGCTTGACGTTTGCGAGGCACTACACATCAAGAAGTCAACACCAGCAATCAACAGCCAATTATTGCACAACTATATTCTACCCACCTCAAGACTCCGCTCCAATATAGAAGCATCAAGAAATATGGACCAATAGGCTTTCTACAAACACTTCTATTCAATACCCATTGTTTCTGTTCTGTCTTGTGTTGATACTTTTAATACCCTATTAATATCCCCTCATGTTCTGTCTTGTGTTAATGCCACATCACTATATGCCACATCATCCCTCCCACCTCACTCAAATGTAGATATAATAGCAGAGATACGTAAGTTCTAATCAGTTGTGTATTTGTGAAGTCTTTGAAAATGTAATAAGTTTTACGAAACGCGCCCGTGTCGCGTCAGACTAGAAATAAAAATGAATTTTGGAGAAGTGATTTTTGATTTACCTCCAACAGTGAAGCGTAATGTACGAAAGATTGAGAAAATTCGTGTTAGAATTATTAATCTTACTTTTTCGGTCATATTTAATAATATATGTCTACAGGAAAGACTGCTACCAAAATATATATATATATATATATATATATATATATATATATATATATATATATATATATATATATATATATATACTCCTTGGGTCTCGTCAAGCTCTTAAACCCTATTTCTCTATGCTTCCACACCTGCTACAACTCTTGGGGACACATTTATCTATGCTTCCACACCTGCTACAGCTCTTGGAACCCCATTTCTCTATGCTTCCGCACCTGCTACAGCTCTTGGACCCCATTTCTCTATGCTTCCACACCTGCTACAACTCTTGGGGACACATTTATCTATGCTTCCACACCTGCTACAGCTCTTGGAACCCCATTTCTCTATGCTTCCGCACCTGCTACAGCTCTTGGACCCCATTTCTCTATGCTTCCACACCTGCTACAACTCTTGGGGACACATTTATCTATGCTTCCACACCTGCTACAGCTCTTGGAACCCCATTTCTCTATGCTTCCACACCTGCTACAGCTCTTGGACCCCATTTCTCTATGCTTCCACACCTGCTTCAATTCTTAGGACACATTTCTCCTAAACTTTCCACTACACTCTGAACCCCTAAACGTCTCTCATACCTGTAGGAGAAGATGTAAGGAGCTCTCTCCAGCAGCCTGACGGAGGCGACGATGGTGTCGGCGTCTGTGGTGTTGGGGATCACCCCTGATACGCCGTCCTGCACCTGAGGGAGTGTCTGGAGGTCAAGCAGCCGTCATGGTAATCTTTGTTAACGTGGGCAGGGGGCTTATAGGCTCTTGGAGTCAATGTGTGGGTGTGTAACCTCGCCCGGCCCGCCGCCTGCGCCACGGGGAAGGAATGAAGGAATGAAACGGGGGTTAGGAATGGTGCCCAACCATTTGGACGGTCGGGGATTGAACGCCGACCTGCATGAAGCGAGACTGTCGCTCTACCGTCCAGCCCAAGTGGTTGGGCTGGTTATGTTGGGGGGGTTGAAGACTAGTTTAGGGGGCTACGTGAGGGCTAGGGACATGTGTGGGGGAAAGGTAATGGTTAGATTGTGTTTCAGGGTTCAGAGATTATTGCTAGTGATTACTAAAAACCATTCACTAGTACTGGCTTGGTCCTCTCTTCTGATAATTACTCGTGGACTGTTTCAGGGCTGTCGACTAGTTATAGGGGGCTGTGGACTAGTTATAGGGGGCTGTGGACTAGTTATAGGGGGCTGTGGACTAGTAACAGGGCTGTGGAGTCTGTACATTATAGATTAGGGACTGTGTAGGAGTTACATGTGGGATAGTTTTAGGGACGATGGGTAGGTTGGGGGCTAGTTATTGGGACAATCACAAGGGTTAACTTTAGCTAGTTGTCTTATCTGAACTAGTATTCAGATTTTGTGGGCTGATAGCTTGCCTTAGTGATTGAGGTAAAGGAAAGACACAGCTTGCCCTGGTGACTGAGGTAAAGGGAGGAGCTTGCCCTAGTGACTGAGGTAAGGGCAGATAGGGAAGGCTGACTTACCTGAATGTCAGCGAGCCTCACAGGAGACATGTGTCCAATCCTTAACAGTTGTAAGATGAGCTCGTGTTTAAACCTCTTGATCTGCTCCTCCACCACGGCGAACTGCTCAGCTGTGGTGGGGTCAGGACGGGGGTTAGTGGTGGGGTCAGGACGGAGGTTAGTGTGGGGTCAAGACGTGCGTTAGTGGTGGGGTCAGGACGGGGGTTAGTGGTGGGGTCAGGACGGGGGTTAGTGGTGGGGTCAGGACGGGGGTTAGTGGTGGGGTCAGGACGGGGGTTAGTGGTGGGGTCAGGACGGGGGTTAGTGGTGGGGTCAGGACGGGGGTTAGTGGTGGGGTCAGGACGGGGGTTAGTGGTGGGGTCAGGACGGGGGTTAGTGGTGGGGTCAGGACGTGGGTTAGTGGTGGGGTCAGGAGAAGAATAAATAGAGGAAATAAATAACCAATATGGACTTATTATAATCATTTTAATAATGACTGTATCTCCCTACCTCCCTGCCTCCTACCCTCCCTCCCTTCCTGCCTCCCTCCCTGCCTGCCCCACACCTACCTCTCGTGGCGGGGAAGAAGATATCCAGGTTGGTCCAGCGGTCGTCATGCCTCTCATAACACTCCTGGACGGAGAACTCCTGCTCAGAGTACAGAGTTATCTCCTGGAAGTCGTAGAAGTTGGTCGTCTGCGTCCCCACCACCTGCAGCAGAGGTCGTCTTGCACTTGTCATACTTGTGCTATACTTCCCCTTCACCGTTTAAGCTTATACACTTGTTGACAGTATATTGTATCGTTAGGTTGTTTCTTGGTCATCAGAGGGGTCTGGAGGGGGGGTCTGGGGATGGAGGGGGTTGGGGGGCTTGGGGCTGGTTGGGGGGAAGGGGGATATGTGGGGGGGGGGAGATAAGCAAATGGGGGGGGGAGATTGGATGTTTCGTGTCTAGTACTAATTTAGTAGCAGGTCTTTCTATCTATTTAAATAGGTATTTTTTTGTGATGTGAATACCTGTTGACGATTTCGGGAATCAGTGACCCCGCGGCCCGGTCTCTGTCCAGGAATACTTTACAACTGCTGCTTATTCTTATTTAAGTGTAGCATATGTTGCCAACAATTATATAATTTTACCATCTGTGTGTGTGTGTGTGTGTGTGTGTGTGTGTGTGTGTGTGTGTGTGTGTGTGTGTGTGTGTGTGTGTGTGTGTGTGTATGTGTATGTGTGTGTGCGCGCGTGTACACGCTGGCAAAGCTCACCTGCATCAAATTTGAAGAGTTGTAGACAAAGAGGTCACCTCGTAGAGGAATGTTGACCGGTACGGTGCCAGCCGGGGTCACCTCCACACCCTGAAACACCCACACGTCAGGTCACTACTCCACATCACCCAACATCTACTCATCCACCCACAAAAACTTCTGCATCTTTCCTCCATCACGACCTATAAAAGTCCATGATGAAACATATAGAAAACGGGCAACTCAGATAGGTGATCTATCATTGACCAACCCGTTCTCGCAAATTCGTAAAGTCAATATTGACTTATTAACTACGTGCATAGGTGATATACTAAACATAATAGATACCCTTAAGAAGATTCATAGAAAACACCGACCTTACCTAACCTTCTTAGTATCTTAAGATAAGCATCTTATTGCTTCGTAATTACAATTATTACTTAACCTATACCTATTATAGGTTAGGTAATAATTGTAATTACGAAGCAATAAGATGCTTATCTTAAGATACTAACAAGGTTAGGTAAGGTCGGTGTTTTCTATGAATCTTTTTAAGGGTATCTATTATGTTAAGTATGTCACCTATGCACATATTTAATAAGTCAATATTGACTTATTAAATTTGCGAGAACGGGTTGCATTGACACTCATTGATGGCTCACGAGTTGTTACCTTAAACATTTACCTGTGTCCAGGTTCGAGAGTATATGTACGCTAACATCTCGAGTGAACCCCTGATCAGAGAGGCTATTGCTGTTTGCGCCCTGCAGTCATACAATCTGTTAAAGCAAAGTGTGCTTGGAAATTTGTAATACTGATACGGTCAGACGACTCACCTGGGAGAAGTAATACTCGAGGACGGCCTTCGAGTACGTGTCGACGCCGTTGGTGGTTGGGTCCGGGATGTCGTGGAGTCGAGTGGAGGTGTAGAGGTCGCCCTCGATGCTACGAGTCGACCTTTCCCCGACGAAGGCGTAAGAGTCGTCGATGTGGAAGAGGGCGTTCGGGGAGAGTAACGAACCCCCGGACCCAATGAACCCCGCTGGAAGGGAACACAGCGAGGGAAACGGAGGTCATTTTCCGACCCGTTCGAACGTTCTCGTTCTCTCTCTCTTTCTCTCTCTCTCTTTTTCTCTCTCTTTTTTTCTCTCTCTCTCTCTCTCTCTCTCTCTCTCTCTCTCTCTCTCTCTCTCTCTCTCTCTCTCTCTCTCTCTTTTTTTTTCTCTCTCTCTCTCTCTCTCTCTCTCTCTCTCTCTCTCTCTCTCTCTCTCTCTCTCTCTTTTTTTTTCTCTCTCTCTCTCTCTCTCTCTCTCTCTCTCACTCTCTCTCTCTCTCTCTCTCTCCTCTCTCTCTTTTTTTTCTCTCTCTCTCTCTCTCTCTCTCTCTCTCTCTCTCTCTCTCTCTCTCTCTCTCTCTCTCTCTCTCTCTCTCTCTCTCTCTCTCTCTCTCTCTCAACAACAATAATAATAAAACATGAACAATGTTGAACAACGTACCAAAGTGGGAGTCGAAGCTGAACGCCGGGATGAACGACAGGGTACAGTTGCCAAACTCTCTGTTCAGAATGTATTGAACTCCTGAACTCCACGGCAAGTTGGGTCGAACGATGTCGAGCAGGTTCGAGCAGGCCCCAGCGATGTCGAGCAGATTTGGGTACGTTGGAAAAGTGGATTAATAGAATAGCCCATCCTCTCGAACTGTCACAACGGACAGATTATGGTGTACTAAAACCCTTGAACCTAACCTAACCTACCCTACCCAAACACAGGAAAACGTGGATGTTTGCGAGCCGCTATGGTTTATAGTACATCATATTTTGTCCGTTGAAGAGTTTGCCGTCAAAATACGATATATTATTAGAGAGAACGGGTTGGATTGCGCGGGAACATGCGTAGAAAACGGAGCTCATAGAGAGAAAGTATGAGAGACTAAAGAATAAAAAGCTTATGGACACCGAGGGTACAATAGTCATTTTGGTTTAATGGTAGTAATTAGATTTAATAGATAGTAATGGATATATCAGTGGTTGTAGCAGGAGTAGAAGGTTTAATAGTAGTAAGAGGGTTGTAGAACGGTGATAAATGTAGTTTTGGTAGATGCGGTGGTAAATAGTAATAGTAATAGTAGTATAATTTTCAGAAGTGGTAGTAGTCAATAAATCCAACAATAGTAATAATAACGACAAAAATACCAACGCTGGCTCAACTCGTTATCAAGTATATTATATTTCCCGGAAACCCTGTGCGTATTAGTGGCTTTAGGCATAGTATGTACTAGCTCTATCTAGAAATCCAACATTTCTAGATAGAGCTAGTGCATATAAGAGAGGCGCGCTGTAGCCACGAGGTAAGGATATAGAGCCCCTGGTGGTTTGGGTGGTATATAGAGCCCCCTGGTGGTTTGGGTGGTATATAGAGCCCCTGGTGGTTTGGGTGGTATATAGAGCCCCCTGGTGGTTTGGATGGTATATAGAGCCCCCTGGTGGTTTGGGTGGTATATAGAGCCCCCTGGTGGTTTGGGTGGTATATAGAGCCCCCCCTGGTGGTTTGGGTGGTATATAGAGCCCCCTGTTGGTTTGGGTGGTATATAGAGCCCCCCCTGGTGGTTTGGGTGGTATATAGAGCCCCCCCTGGTGGTTTGGGTGGTATATAGAGCCCCTTATGGTGATTTGGGTGGTATATAGAGTCAGTCTGGAGCGTCTCTCACCTGTGTTGAAGTCGTGAATGGCTTCCATTTCGAACTGAGCGTCGGGCGGAGCGTCGTCAGCGGCGGTGAAGGTCAGGCTTACCATGGAGATGTTGCCTGCGTACGTCAGCTGGTGGACGAGAGGCGAGTTCTTAGTAGAATGGGAAGGGGGGTATGTTGTTGTGGTATGCTGTGGTAGGGGTATGTTTGGGGGGGGGGAGTTGTGGAGGTATGTACTGGTGGTGGAGGTATGATATGGGGGGAGGAGTATGTTGGGGCGGTGGAGGTATGTTGTGGGTGTTGAGGAGAAGTATATTATTAAAACAAGCGAAAAGTTTCAAGGATAGGAACAGCAGTCAACACGACACAGAACAGCTCTCTGACAGCTTCCTACACCAGAGCGCTCCCGCCAGAGGCCCTCGCTAACAGTGGAATCTTTCAAAGGTTACACGTTACAACGTACGTGAGACCCACACATAGATACGCAGCCCCGATATACATATAACTTTCCCTTATCAGGTCGAAAGATGTGCCACAAGACTCGTTCCTGCGGTAAGGGGACAGAGCTATGAAGAAAGGAACTAAGATCTCACCTCACCGGAGGGAAGAAAGATATACAAGCAAACATTATGACATCAGATCTTCTGAAGGGAAATGGCCAAGTAGTTGTGGCCAAGTAAGAGAAGCAATGTTGAAACAAAAATAAGAAAATTACAATGTGGGAACGTAACAGACATTTCCCCACACCCTTTCCCCTCCCCCACACCCTTTCCCCTCCCCCACAGACCTCTCCCACACCCCTCACATACCCACCCACACCCACACACCCACACACACACCCACACACCCACACACACACCCACACACACACCCACCTGCAGCTTATCCAGGTGCTGCTTGCCGTACGAGCTTCCTTCAATCTCGGAGTTGTTGATATACTCCTCGGCCAGGCTAAAGTGCCAAGGGATGTCTGGGATCTTGAGGTCGGCGACCACGCCCACAGTGTTCTCACAGGCGAGGCCTCGGGGTGTCTGTGGGGGCACGGCAGGATTACCCACACACGGAACATGAGATAAAACAATTATAAACACACACAGAGATATGCAGACCGACACCAACATTAGCAGACACGCACACTCAGACCAACACCAGCAGACAGACCGACCAGCACCCACCTCCAGTTCGGTGTGGAGGCCCACGTAGGGCAGGAACTCGACCACGTTGTACTGCCAGGCGGCGCTCCCGTCCATGAACTTGACGTCGATCTGTACGGGAAGGCGGCCGTCTCCCTCGCTGAAGTAGTTGGCGTAAGGCATGCTCCAGGGCACCTCTGTAACCACCGTCACACCTGGTTAATCCATCTACTCCAAGGCTCTCTGATCTATTTGCCACTAACTACCAGTAGATACAGCCTCTATATCTACTTGTAGGAGGCAGATATCTACCTACCTCTCTGACTCTAAGTGAAGCTTGTTCTAGAGTCAAGCTTATCGTGGTCTCCTTTTCCCCTTGGATGCAACCCGCAATGGTTGCTTAACTCTCGGGCACCTAGTTACTGCTAGGTGAACAGATGCATCAGGTGTCAGGTCCTGTTAGGTAAGGGGGGAAGAGGTCCTGTCCATGTGGGAGGAGGGGGGCGCTGCTCGGAGAATATTGTTTGACACGTAAATGCTCGTTCAGGTGTCTGAGGTCAGGTTTGTTGGTGGTGTTGTGGGTGTGTTGGGGCGCCTTGGTGTGGGGCCCAGCAACCTAGTCACGACCCGTGGGTAGTGTAGTGCGTGCGTGCGTGCGTGCGTGCGTGTGTCTGAAAGCGCGCGTGTGTACAAGAGAAAGCTGAACGTGTCTGCCGGTCAAGTTCACATTTCCGGTTCAATATACACTATTTTTTGTGTCTATAAGTTTACAATTTTAAGTAAACTAAAATTTTATTATAACTATGGATTTTTTCCGACACAACACGGCGATCATTGGTGCCCCACCTCCTGGGTCCCCAGACCCGCCTCCTGGGGCACCAGACACCAGGTCACCCCCAGGGACGCCAGAGGTAAGGGCCCGGTGTCTTAGAGCCGCCCTGGGGGCATCAGTGGCACAGAGCTGGTCCAGTGACAGTTCCCTACAGACGGCACCAGTTGCACAGCGTGACAAATCCCCTCCGAAGTTACCAGTTACACAGAACTGGCCGATCAGACCCCCACCGGGGGCTCAGAACTGGTTTATCAGATCCCCGTCAATGGTACCGGAGACCCCGGAGGCCCCAGTGGCCCCGGAGGCCCAGATATGGTGTGATATATCCCACCTGGGACGGAAGGTGGCCTTGTCGTGCCCGTCTGGCGTGTTGGTCAGCAGCTCCCGGATCGAGCACCTGACTACCCTGAGGTGGGGCATATGTCAGCACTGCTGGCCTGCCACCGCCTGCACCTACACGGCCTACCTCTCCACCCACCAGCTGGCCCACCAGCCGGCCCACCAGCCGGCCTACACTGGCAGGAAATTCGTCACCCTAAACATGACAGTAGAGTTCCACCTGCGTGACACCGGCGAGCACATAACGTGCGTGACGAGAGTAACGTCACACCACAGGCTGGTGACAGCTGGGGAGAGGGACCTGCTGGCACTGGACCTGGTGAGTGCCGTGCCCAACCTCAGGGCCAGAGACGAGAGGGTGTTTCGAGCGCATTATTACAAGATCGTCAGAGACTTCTACTGCGACCCGCCAGCGTTCCTTAACCTGGCACCCATGGCGGTCAAGCTCCTGGCGTGCGAGGAGGACTGGCAACACCACCTTGACGGCAGCACCACCGTCATCACTGTCAAGTGTACTCTGAGGAGTGTGTCCCAGCCTCTTGTCACACCCGCCGGGGTCCTTATGATAACTGATTGATGACTGATATGGACCTGCTGCATGGGTAACAGCTTCTCCGTATCAACCTACCCTGGCTATCAACCCCCTACTACTAAGCTATGAATAGATCCAACTTATGGTTGCCATCCATTAGCCCGTAATGGATTTTTCATCCAAAGGGGTGCCATCTCTGATGCAATTTTAGGGACACATAGCCTGGGAGAAGAGAATAAAGGGCATACAGAGAAGATCTTGTGGGTTCTCCCTGAAGGCTTGAGTATGTTCTCCTCCCACCCCAACTCTTTAATTATTGTATACAACGTGATTTGATTTATTTTTTTAACATAGAATTTGCAGAAAACATCCAAAATACTTTTTCATCCACATATACATATAAATACATTCCTTGAATTTATGGTGTCGGGAAAAAGATGACTTCTGACTCCTGTTAGTAAAGCTTAATTTGCTAAAGCTGAGATTGTAAAGCTTAGAGCTTTACCATCCCAGTCTTCCCTAGAACACTACCAATCAGCTTGCACATGCTGGTTGATCACAACTAGACAAGCACCGGTGACCTATGGATTGCAAGCCACAACAAGCTGGAAGAACAAGTTCTCTGTCAGTCTCACAGTCTCACTAAAGCACGGTAATTGCCACGCTGTGGTCGATGCCATCACAATTGCCATATATGCATTAAGTGTGAGGACAGGTCATTGCCCTAGTACCTACGTATATATAATATATATTAGGCGGAAGCGCTTCTATTACACACACTCAGGTGAGTACTCGTCACCTAATTACACACAACAGGTGAGTACTCGTCACCTAATTACACACAACAGGTGAGTACTCATCACCTAATTACACACACTCAGGTGAGTACTCGTCACAGGGAAGACAGACAGGTATACGCTCTCACCTGAGAAGGAGTAGACGACCTCCACCTTGTTGCCCTCCAAACAGGCTCTCCAGCGCTCACTACGCACGCCTTCTATAGTCGCTTCTCCCAAGAACTCCTGCAGGAGGACAGAAAACATCTCTCAGAGAATTATGAGCAGACATCGCTACATCGGTACGACTGTACACCACGCGGAAGAGATATTAGGACAGGATAGGCGCTGGGATATGAGGATATGAGGACAGGATATGAGGAAGAGGGGAAGGAACGGCGCCTTTACCCCCTTGGATCATCGGGGGATCGAACGCCGACCTTGCATGAAGCGAGTACGTCGCTGCACCGACCAGTCCAAGTGGTTATAAGACGTAAGTAATTATTAAAAGAAGGCACCAAGCCGAGAAGGCTATGTAGCACCTGTAGTGATATCATGAAGCACAAAGGCGGAGAACAGAAGAAACAGGAGAACAGGACACAGGAGAACAGGACACGGGAGAACAGGACACGGGAGAACAGGCCACAGGAGAACACGCCACAGGAGAACATGCAGGAGGTACTGACGGTGTCGATGAAGGCTGAGAGCCTCAGGATGGTGGCTGGACCATAGCTCAGGTCGCCGTGGGTCGTGTCCACGTCGTACCAGCCCCAGGGGTTGTACGCTGGGGCCTCCCTGGGGGTGGAGGGGGCGTGGGGTTAGTTACACGTGCTGTGTGTGAGTGTGAGTGTGTGTGTGTGTGTGTGTGTGTGTATACAAAGTTTTTCAGAAAATATTCACCAAAGGATTTTATTAGAAAATTGTTAGTGATGGTTATTAGTTCAGACAAGTGTAGACTCTTCATACTATACGGTAAACTTACCCGGAGCTCTGACAGAGCCCCGGGTACCTCAGAGGTAAACCTACCCAGAGCTCTGACAGAGCCCCGGATACCACAGGGGTAAACTTACCCGGAACTTTCACAGAACTCCCCGTACTGGATGATAAACTTGCGGGCGTCAGGGTAGAAGTGGAAGACTGTGGTATTAGCGTCAGTGAGGACGGACACCGCCGCTGTGTCGCTGCGGTAGTCGTGGTAGTCGCGTCGTTCTCGCCGCTCCTCCACGTAGCTGGTTGTCGTCTGTGAGGGGAGGAGGAGGGAGAGGGTGGTAGATCACGTGGGGGGTGGTTGTTGTGGTAGGTAGATCGGCTGGTGTAGGCAGGTAGGTAGGTAGGTAGGTTATCTCACCTGAGTTTCGCTGGTCATCTCCACGACGAAGGTGAAGGAGCCAGCCAAGGTGGCTGAGAAATCAGGGATGGGGTGATCCTGATTGGGGGTGACAGGAGTGCACTCTGTCTGGCCCTGGACGCCCTGCTGGCCCCCCAGGGCCATCAGGGCCACCATCACCGCCGCTACTCTCATCTCTCTGAAACACAGGTCCACAGAATGTGTATGACAGCTTTTATTTAATTATCTTTTGTCGTGGGGGGACAGTAAGCCTGTACTCTGGGCTATCCAGGGCCACTCATCTACCGCAGGGTGTAACCCACAACAGTTGGCTAACTCCTGGGTGCGTACTTAACTGCTAAGCGAACAGCGTCATCAGGTGAAAGGAAAGGTGCTCAACCGCCTCTGTCCTCCCCGAAGATTGAAACCGGGGACTTCGTTTGTGAGTTTAGGACATAGACCACAGTTCTACAGCAGCAGCAGCAACAGCAGATAGTTACAGGCAGCAGCAGCAGACAGTTGCAAGCAATAGCAGCAACAGCATATAGATGCAGGCAGCAGGAGCAGTAGCAGACAGATGCGGCCAGCAGCAGACAGCAGTGTGGGTGTAGAGGGAGGGAGGGAAGATGGGCTTGGGTTAACATGCAGAAGAGGAAGGAGGTAGAGAGCAGCACCGTCCTCTACGATAACCGTCCCATCACCCACAATATAACCCAAGATAACCTGAACAATAACAGATAACTTATGGTATCACCTCCTGATGTTCATAGTCCACGTAGGAGTACATATTATGTTCCGTGTTCTCCAGCAGTTCATCATGTTATAACACCTGAATTGTTCAATCTCTGAACGTCTGGTACAATGGCAGTCGACCCTCTTGTTGGCCGTTCACACATGTAACTATGTATGGCGTTGGTCTTAAGTACTCTCCCTAAGTGGTCATTCCTCTTGCTCACTGTTCTTACACTGACGAAGAAGTACTTCCCTACATCACTATGGATCATCTGAGTGTGTATCTTCCATCTGTCTTTCTGCTATGTTTATAATGACGTTTCTGGTGAGTTCTCCTTGAGTTAAAGTCGCCAGTATGTGCTTATAATGATGATAGCATATCTGATGTTAGTAAGCTGACTCTACTGTGCCTTTTCAAACGCCAGTACGGTCCTGCCCTTGAAATCCACGTTGACGTTAACAATTTGAAGTTCATTTCTATTGTTCTTAATTCTGTCTTTCTTTCTTTGGGGCACTCAGAATCTCGTCCAATGTGCTTCCAAAATGCTGCCCATTTTGTTCGTGCTTAAAATTTGTTTAGCCTTTTTTCCGGGTGCTAAATCTCCTTTGCTTTTGTTTAGGATGGTTCTGTTATATTTCTGTGGACAGCTGTTCGTCTGGATAGTTCAAAGGATAGGTGTTTATCTGGACAGATCAGAGAAAATATGTTTGTCTAATCCATTGAAATTCACCTCGCATCTGATCTCGAGTCATTGGTCTCCTTCCATAGCCTTCTCTCTCTCTCTCTCTCTCTCTCTCTCTCTCTCTCTCTCTCTCTCTCTCTCTCTCTCTCTCTCTCTCTCTCTCTCTCTCTCTCTCTCTCTCTCTCTCTCTCTCTCTCTCTCTCTCTCTCTCTCTCTCTCTCTCTCTCTCTCTCTCTCTCTCTCTTCTATCATTACTTGCATGATTCCTCTTCTCAAGATCTTGCGGTCTATGTCTTAATTTAAATAATAATAATAATTAGTAATGGTAATGTCTTCTCACAGACATAATAATAAAGTACTACCTAATAAGCACCATGTAACCTACCTTACTCCCTAAATGTCAACCCATGTCTTGCTATTTTCAATCAACATTGTTGACCAACTTGTATAACTGCTGATTTCCGCCATTTTCCCCTCCCCCCCCCACTCTTTTTTCCCCTTGTTCAACTCAATTTATGTTCTTATTTTATTATTTAGTTTTAGTTTTTAGTGTTTTTCCCCCACACCTTGCCAGAAACGCTGTGCGTGTTAGTGGCTTCAGGCATAGTATGTACTGGCTCTATCTATAAATCCAACATTATGTTTGTAACTCATTTTGTATGTGTGTACTTTTACCTGAATAAACATTTGATTTGATTTGATAGCATTGGATTAAAAAAAACACTTGTGTATTTTTTAAATTTATGTAAGGAATTTACACCAAATCTTTCGCACTCTCCTGAGTGCTTTGTCAAGATCTGAGTGTGTGGTGAGGACCAGACTTACATCTCGACGACTTATCATTAGTCGTTGAGATTTTAGTCTGGTCCTCACCACACACTCAGACCTTGACAAAGCACTCAGGAGAGTGCGAAAGATTTGGTGTAAATTCCTTACATAAATTTAAAAAATACACAAGTGTGGTTTTTTTATCCAATAATAATAATAATAATATTAAAGTATAATACCTCGCTCGTCTCAGTTACTGTGTCGCCAATATAAAACCCTCACTATTCCTCTAAATTAGTTATCCCTCCTCCAGTCATCTTGTGAAATGGTTGATTGCAAGCGCCTTGACGACGGCTTCTACTCCTTACATTGACTCTTCAGTTGCAAGTAGTTATAGTAAACACGGGTGTCGTTGCCTTGCACGTATATGAACGGGTCAACTATGCAACAGATGTGAAGAATGAGGAGAGCAGCGGACCGCCTTACCTGGCCCTCGGTGTTGAGTTAGCCTACTGGCGTCTGGACTTGTTGTGATGGTGGTGGTGGTGGTGGTGATGGTGATGGTGGTGGCTGTGGTGGTGAAAGAGGGGACGTAGAGAGGGGAGGCAAGGGGGGTGTGTCACAATCAAAAAATATATATTTCCTAATCACGTTCCCCTGACAAGCTCCCGGGTGATATGTGGTATCAGCTGGCGGCCAGGAGCCGCCCCCCTCCCTCACCTGTGTCGGTAGCCACTGTGGTTTGTTCACGCATTATGTGATTATAGCTTTTATCACCCCTACGTCACTATCTGGACTCATCCGGGCGTCGTTAACCGGACCGGTGTGAATTAAGGGCCCCCCGTGGGCCCTGTAGGGGGCTTGTTGTCTTTCTCTTAATGTTAGATATACTGTACAATAATAATAATAATAACTATTTAAAATATATACAGAACATGATAATGTGATTAATTACCTGCTTCGATGTATTCAATAAAGTCAGCAATAAGGAAGCTAACATATATGGATTGCTCAAGAAATATGGTGATGCATAACTGAGAGATAGACTAATTTATTAAAGAATCTGTAGTTTTGGCATCAATAATAATAATAACTTACATTATTATAAAACTGTAATTACATTTGATCCTCATCATTATAACATTCTCAATAACAAGACTGATCTTGTTACCTAGCAGTAAAATAGGTACCTGGGTGTTAGTCAGCTGTCACGAGCTGCTTCCTGGGGGTGGAGGCCTGGTCGAGGACCGGGCCGCGGGGACACTAAAAAACCCCGAAATCATCTCAAGATAGATCTTCTCTGGTCACTGAAATCCGGAACCCTAATTTTCTGGGCTGTGAGGTCGTCCTGTACGACTGAACTCAGCACCGTCCAGGAGCTCCTGCTGAGAGCATGATAGTTTAATTAGTTTAGATCATTTATTATGCACCCCATACCCATCTTGTGGGCGGTAGTGGAAGGGGTTACAGAGGCACATAATGGGCTCAGGGACTGAACCCCACAATTCATTTAGCTAAGCAAGTTACAATCTTGATGAGCTAGTTACAAAATTCTGTATAAGTCGTGACATCATAAATGGGTTCGAGATCGACCACAAGTACAGTTTCTAAGTTAAGCTACTATAATGCGGGGCCCCCGCTATACACACTATGTATAAATCAAATCAAATTTAATGTTTCTTCAGGTAACAGTACATACATACAAGGTGAGTTATAAACATAATGTTGGATTAATAGCTAGAGCTAGTACATACAGTGCCTAAAGCCACTAATACACACTGCGTTTTGGGTATTATCATTAATTATCACAATTAACGATAATAATGATAATATTTATATAGGAAAAAGTACATACAAACTGAGTTACAAACAAAATGTTGGGTTTCTAGATAGAGCTACTATTCTAGATAGAGCTACTATTCTAGATAGAGCTACTATTCTAGATAGAGCTGCTATTCTAGATAGAGCTACTATTCTAGATAGAGCTACTATTCTAGATAGAGCTACTATTCTAGATAGAGCTACTATTCTAGATAGAGCTACTATTCTAGATAGAGCTACTATTCTAGATAGAGCTACTATTCTAGATAGAGCTACTATTCTAGATAGGGCTACTATTCTAGATAGGGCTACTATTCTAGATAGAGCTACTATTCTAGATAGAGCTACTATTCTAGATAGAGCTACTATTCTAGATAGAGCTACTATTCTAGATAGAGCTACTATATATTATGCCGTAATATACAGTATATACTATGCCATAGAATATAGTACACAATATATTATATGCTATAGTATATATTATACTATATACTATGGCACTAGTACGCACAGCGTTTCGGCCCATTCACTGTGCGGGTAATTAGGCGGTAACTTCTCAATGGAGATAGCAGTTTCCTTATAATAGAAATCATAGGGTTTCGCAAGTACAGTTGGGTTCGTGCTTGACTCACCATCGGTAAAGCCAGGTGTGCCTGCTAGCCGGGACACAAATGGTTGGGCACTTTTCCTATCACCTTACGCCCTCTGTTCACTTAGCAGTAAATAGGTACCAGGGAGTTAGTCAACTTTGTCCGAAAGGCTATGCGTACTAGTGGCTTTAGGTATTGTATGTACTAGTTCTATCTATAAATCCAACATTATGTTTGTAAATCAACTATGTATGTACTTTCCTGAATAAAATTTACTTTACTTAACTGTTTCAGAGTTGCATCGTTGGGAAGGTCAGTAGTATAAACTATGGGAGAAAACTCGATACAAGCCTAAAAGATGTATATATATACACAGTCTTGTCCCCGACAAACCTTTCTGGTCTGAAATATTTTCTTTTGCTTTAGTTATTCCTTCAGAAGGAATCATTTTCTGTCCAACTTTGGTTAAAGAAAGTTGTAATGTTTAAGGGGTAGCTATTTACATTTTGGGAGTTAATTTTTGTTGTGCAAATGGGCAAGTTTAATTTATTTTGTCAGGGACAGAAAGCCTGTGTACACTTGCCTCTAGATCCCCCCAAGGTGGAACTACTGAACCTTCCCAGAATGCAACCCCACAACGGTTGTCTAACTCCCGGGTACCTATTTACTGCTAGGTGAACAGAACATTAGGTGAAAAGAAACGTGCAAAATGTTTGTCCCTAGCCAGGGAATAGATCCTGGGATCCCCGATTGTGTTTCAACATGCTGTAGTCCTAAGGGTCCGGGTTCGATCCCCGGCGCAATGGAAACAAATGGGCAGAGTTTCTTTCACCCTGATGAACCTGTTCACCTAACAGTAAATAGGTACCTGGAAGTTACACAGCTACGGGCTGCTTCCTGTGTGTGTGTGTGTGTGTGTGTGTGTGGTGAAAAAAAAAATAAAAAAATAGTAGTAGTAGAAACAGTTGATTGACAGTTGAGAGGCGGGACCAAAGAGCCAGAGCTCAACCCCCGCAAGCACAACTAGGTGAGTACACATTTAATATCTCTCTCTCTCTCTCTCTCTCTCTCTCTCTCTCTCTCTCTCTCTCTCTCTCTCTCTCTCTCTCTCTCTCTCTCTCTCTCTCTCTCTCTCTCTCTCTCTCTCTCTCAGAATGAACCAATCAGCTCGCGACACGTCACACGCCGCGTCAACCAATCATGACGAAGCGAGTGATTTTAGCGACTCATTGAACTCATTGTTACCAAGGGTAGGAGTGTGGCCCTCAGTATACCTGTGATCCTGGTATACCCTGGCGGTATACCTGTGATCCTGGTATACCGTGGCAGTATACCTGTGATCCTGGTATACCGTGGCAGTATACCTGTGATCCTGGTATACCCTGGCGGTATACCTGTGATCCTGGTATACCGTGGCAGTATACCTGTGATCCTGGTATACCCTAGCAGTATACCTGTGATCCTGGTATACCGTGGCAGTATGCTGTGATCCTGGTATACTGTGTCTGGTATACCTGCGATCTTGGATTGCCAATTATGTTGATATACCTCTTGTCTTGGTATACCTGAAGCGCCAGCCACCAGTTGACTGGTATAGACAGTCCTGGCAGACTCTGGCATATCCACACCCTTGAAGCTGAGTACGGAGCCAGTCTCTCCCACTCTCTCTCTCTCTCTCTCTCTCTCTCTCTCTCTCTCTCTGATATCCTCCGCTGCTTTACTTGTATGTCAGTAAAGACCTTTGTAATATCCCTGTGGTTCCTGATATTTAGTTTCTACCAGAGTTTAACATTTGGTGGTAAAATAGCGTGTTTTCATCTATCTATTCCTTTTCACAATTTTATATGCCGTGAACATGTCTCGCCTGTGGCTCCCCTTTTTTCTAGTGACGTGAGGATCATTCCTTGTAGCGCATGTCTCTCACGTTTATGACTAGCCTGGTGGCAGATAGGTTCATAAACAAACTAGTAGAGTTTCATGAACGAGTGCTGGAGCTATAACTCCAAATTATAGCGATTTTTGAGACAAAACTATCAGCCAGGATAAGAATGATAATATTCGTAATGAATTATCAGACGGGGAACAAAATGTGTCCAAGGATAAAAAATGTAAGAAAATGAATGAATAACTGGACTATATTAGAGGGAAGCTCCTTTTTAATTAAATTCATTTTGTCGGGGACAGGCAGTCTGTGTATTTATATGTGATATGAGTTCACAGAGGTGGGTCAAAGCTCTCATATTGCACCCGACAATAATCAGTAGAAGACTCACAAGAGACTCACAAGCTTCTGAGAGTTGTGAGGAAGCTTCAGCACTTGTAGCAAGGGCGGGGCGAGGACAGGTACAGGAAGAGACGGGCAATACACAATGATGTGTAGGATAAAAGATTCAGAAAGGAAATTAGAAACCCCCTCAACTCAACCCCCCCCCCCGCAATCACAACTAGGTTATCTTGAGATCTTGAGATGATTTCGGGGCTTTAGTTTCCCCGCGGCCCGGTCCTCGACCAGGCCTCTACCCCCAGGAAGCCGCCCGTGACAGCTGACTAACACCCAGGTACCTATTTTACTGCTAGGTAACAGGGGCATAGGGTGAAAGAAACTCTGCCCATTGTTTCTCTCCGGCGCCCGGGATCGAACCCGGGACCACAGGATCACAAGTCCAGCGTGCTGTCCGCTCGGCCGACCGGCTCCAAAGTACACACACACACTGCTCTGTCTCCTCACCATTCGCCACCTCCCTGTTCTAACAAGGCGGTACACCACAGTCTCACCAGTCACCACAGTAGACCACTCTTCTGTCACACGTGATCCCTGTCTGCCCCCCCCCCCCCTTGTGCTTGTCTTAACTGGCGCACTCACTTTACCAGTCAGCCAGCACTCTAAACTGCCAGTCAGCCAGGCAGCTAGAAGACAGGAGAGGAAGAGGGGAGAGGAAGAGAGAGGAAAAGGGGAGTGGAAGAGAAGGCGAGGAAGACGTCAACATATTCAGTGCTTCCGCTGTTATGCATGCATCCGTTACTGGATGGTATTGAGGGAGGGAGGGAGCCAGTGAGGGAAGGAGGGAGGGAGCTAGTGAGGGAGGGAAGGAAGGAGCTAGTAAGAGGGGGAGTGGGGAATATCATAGGCCAGTTGGGGTCGGCCCTAGACCATCACTTTAAGAAATATTAACATCGAACCCCTCCCCCATTCCCCTCACACACAACGATTTTCACGAGGGGAGGTTC